CAATCATAAAAATAACTGCAGAATATTTGTATTTCTCTTTTGTGCCTGTGTATATTTGTACACTTGTATTTGCCCCTGGCTTGGGCTACTCATTGCTTCTTGTACCGTGTATCTCGTATCTTGTATCTCAATGTCAAGGCTGTCTCGCAACTGCCTCATTATGGATGAATTTCAATTGGACTGACTGATTGACAATGAAGCCAACTGCAATAAGCGGCGGCTGATGGGACGTTCAATGAATGCAAGTCGGACTTTTAAATAAAAATACCAAAGATCCTGCAGCTACAGACAGAGAAATTTCTGATTTTATTCTGGGAAAATAAATGAATACATAAATTAGTTAAAAATCATGTAAGTTATGTAAATTAGTTTAAGGATAATTCATTTATTTAATGTTAAAACATTATTTTTTTCTTATTTTTTGTTTGCTGATTTCATGTATATTTTTTTAAATATAAAAAAAGTGATTTTAATAATCTTAAAATTTTGAGTTTTTTACTCAAATAATGTATAATATTATCTACATATAATTAAACTAAAATTTAAACTAAATTTGAGTATGGAACAATTCAGATTGCAAGCACGCAATTTTATTTTCAATTATTTTCCCAACATTCCCATTGTATTTTTACAATTTGAACGCACGGTTTTTCTGCTCCCATTCAGCTTTTATTTAAGAAGTCCCAGCTTACAGAGGGGATTAAATTAACTACCTATTAGCCTGTGTGGTGGCCCCTGGACCTCCCTGTACCAGATGTATCCTTTTTAAGCCACCTCTTTTTTGTCCCGGAACTCGCCGCTTATTATGCATCATTCCCATCAGGCGGGAGGGCCCAGTTAATTTCACCTTTCGGGAGGGACTAATCCTGCAGACAGGATCGTCGGACTTAATGCCCGCACATGCCAACAAGCTCGGCAGCATAATGCGTCAAATTGCTAATTAAGAACTGCAGCAGTGGCAACTTTTTGCCCCGATTAGTGGCCATGTCATTAGGGTTCGGGCCGAAGCCCGGCCAAAAAGAAGCGAAAAAGGTCTGAGCTTGCGTGTTAAGATATTTGATTATGACAAACAGCCACACACATATGTATATGCTCACACACACACACTCAGCAATTAGTGGAGGGCGTGTCCTTTAGGGGCAAAAAAGTAGACTACACTTTTTTTTTGGTATTTTTGTTTTGCTACTGGTCATTCAACTATTCAGGCCAAAAGCCGAATTTGTGACACGTCACACGGGCCAAAAAAAAAGGGAAAACTAATTAAGAGCTTAAAGATAGCGACGAAAGTGAGCGAGCGGGCGATTAAAAATAGCTCCGGTGGAGGCTGCACACGCCTATTTTTAGGGTCACCTCGGGGTCAAGCACTCCGCCCGGCTAGACACCAGGTGGGCGGCAGGCAGGTCGGTTCGCTGTTAACTTAAAGGGTCTCTCTAATCAACCCCCGCATTCGAGAGAGGGTTTTCAAAAACCACCAATTTATTTCCGCTGCGCACAAAGTTTTTTGGGCAGCTCACTGAGGCTGCAGTAATGCGAATTGATTTCCGCCGGCTGCAGACAACACGGTTATCCATTTCTGCCGCATCCGGATACGAATCCGTGTCCTTATATCATAGCATATCCCACAACAACAAGCAAACACAATGCACTGAGAAAAAAAAATATCATTAACAAATATTTCATTCATTCAAAGACTTCTGGAAAACCACAAAACGATAAAATGCTAAAGTGTTTTTTTTATATTTACATTTAATTTAATTCAAACTTTTATATGATCCTTTTTTAAATTTAATGACTCAGCGGTTATATTATATATATTTTAATTTTTTAGCCAATACATTTTAAAATTTGTTTATTTCATTAAATTTAATTCAAACTTTTTTATGATCAAATAAATATTTCTTAATTAAATTTAGTGACTCATTGAGTCAAGAAAAGTAAACTAAAATTATATTTTTTTCTTAGAAAATTCCATAAATATTTTATCAACAAAGTGACGAAAAAAAATATAATAAAATATAAAATATAAAATATTTTTTGTAAGCGTCATGAGTGCCCATTGAATTTTTCTAGTTCACATAAATTCCAGAATTTTAAAAGATTTTTTCTAAATGCAGAACATCAATCTCCTTGCAGCCACTCGATTGTTGAAAACTTCCAATTCGAATTTTCCGCCTAAATACTTGTGGAAATTGTTGATTTGATTTTGGCCGCGTGAAAACTTTTTAATTAATTGGCCCCGCCTTGGCAGTTGGTCTATTTGCCCATGTTTTTATGGCAATGTGCATCCCGAGATCTGGTAAGTGGGTCTTGGGCCATTTGAATTCGACCAAACAGCAGACGTGACCCAAAAGTTGGTGGCCCGTGTTTTTGCCCATCCTCCCCGGAATTCCGGAAACGGACGTGACAGTAATAGGTCATGCTCGATTCCCTTCGATTTTCGGGCTCGGCGCCAATAAAAAGTTTGCTTTATTTGATTTTGATTTGATATTTTTGAGTAGCACAGCCCACAAATTTACCTTCACTTTTCGCGTTGAAAGTTGTGTCCGTGTTTTATGGTTTTCGGTCAGCGAAGCGGGATAAACTTTTCTGATGAGATTCGGAATTCCCAGATTGATATGTCTTCAATTTATTTTCCATTCCCATTGAGCATTTTAATTAAGTTCGCGCACTTTTATTGACAATCATCTTTAAATGATAAACATATTCAGTTGTTAGTTGTATTTTCACTGTATTTTTAACTAAGTAAAAGTAAATACAATTATAGGCTTTGTATTTAATTATTTTTATTATTTTATTAATTTCTAACACACTGTTGTTGATATAAAAACACTACTTCATTAAATAAAACTTTTGTTACATTACACAAAACTTGAAATAAAAGATTTCTCAGCATAAGAAAAGTCCTTTTTTGACACCCTTATTAAAAACTTTCTTAGAACTCTTTTGAACTTCACAATCTTTCGCCTTGGGCCGTTTTATTCAAACGCACAATTTCCGGCGGTGAATTTCCACCCAAAATTCACTTTTCACTTTCTGGCGTCAACGTAACTCAATTTGAGATTCTTTTCAATTAATTGAATTTCGACTAATTACACGCACTTAGCACCTTGACGGGGTTTATTTTCGGAAAAGGAAAATTGAAAATTTAAATCGTTGGGAGCGCGCGAATAAAGGACTTCCGATCCGATTCGCGTCGCCTGCCGAGTGACAATGCGTCGTATACGCAACTTCCTGCCGCCCAGTGTCGCGTTCCATCGGCAACTGAATTGAAAGGCCGCTCGTCGGCGACCAAACGACTTGGAAGCAACAAGCGCGCACGCCAAAAGTCCAGGAGCGCATCTCGGGCCCTCGGGTTGTAAATCTCGGGTTATTTACTGAGGCTCGCACCATTCGGCGCTTTCGGTATGTATGACATCACTGTACAAATTTCGTCTGCCAGTGTTAGATGCGTAATTAAAACGTCTGCATAATTAAACACGGGAGATTTCTGTTTATCTGCCGGCACTTGACATATTTATCGCATGGACCGAAGTCGAAGTCAAAATCGGGCGACGTGGACCATTGGCAACCACCTGTTAGCTTGCGCTTGGCGCCATGTTAGCCAACAGAAAGCTGGGAGCAATGAGCTTTCCGCTAACATCGTGTTATTACGGATGGTCAAAAGGGCTTTTTATAACATCCCAGGAGATGATAATGCAACGAAAATGAAAATCAAATTATTAAAACTATTTTAATAAAAACTTTTAAGGCAATTAAATAATTTGACTTGGTTGTATAAATGCCTTGTTTAGTTTTATAATAGCTTATTAGCTTAAGGTAAATTTTTGTATATTTTGTAATATTTGTTTTGGGTGTGCATTTTATATTAAAAGTTTCTTACATGTTTCCCCACTCAAAACGCTTCTTTAACTAATTAGTTTATTAAATCAGGGCTAATCGTATAACGTTATTCATCTTGTTTTACATTTCAGTTGTTTCTATGACGCAATTCCCATAAATTAAAATAAAGAAACTTAAAATAAAATATGAAACAAATCCGATAAGGCTCCTTAAATAAATGTTTTGCACGACATACATATTTACACAAATATTTCATATATGTTTTTTAACATAGTCAGAGCGCGAAGAGCAAAACTGCTAAAGAGATAGACATTAAACAAACCGGTCTCCCTCTCTTGGTGGATTTACCTCTCTCTCGGCACTCTGCCAAAATCGAGCAACAACGAAAGAAATCAAGAAGACTGCAATTTTATTGAAAGCTCTTCATGGATGCACTTCCTATGCATAAAGAATATCCGGAAATATTTAATTATCAATAAATATATACCTATTTCTGGATTACATATAAAGATGAAACTGTATTAGACTTTAGAGAGAGGAGAGATATAAAGAATGTCCGGAAATATTTAATTATCAATAAATATATACCTCTTTCTGGATTACATATAAAGATGAAACTGTATTAGACTTTAGCTCTTTTAAATCTTATTTATAAAGTTATTATACAATACAAAATATATTAATATTAGGTACTATAATTTTATTCTTTTTCATTTGGTTCTATACATTTTTTCAGACTCATTTAAAAAAATTATTTTTATAATTACTAAAACAATTGACAGACATTTAAATATATTTTACGAAGGCTAAATTATATATTGTTGCTTAATTAATGTACCCTTCTGGAAGAGTACATTGGATGACGAAATCGTTGATAAAGAAAAATCAGCTGTGGCTCGGAGAGAGAGTTGAGTATACCAGACTAGCCGGCATATTCTTTATCAATTTTTTTTACCGCTGACAGCTGTTCCACTTTTGATTAGACTTTGTTAACCCTAGGTAAATAAATACAAGACTATAATTCATAGTGATTTTTATAGAGAATTTTAAAGTATCTTGAACAGATTTTATTTTAAGAGCAGCGGCATTCTAGAAACCGGGTGACGAAACTGGTAGCACGTGGAACTCGGCATACTGATGAGTTGAGCGAATAAAAACAGAAATAAAGAGGGAAATTAAGAGCACCCGAAACCAGAGAGCTTTGGCAATAAAAAGGCGAGCTCACCAGTAAATTGCTTCATACAGTTTTTGAACTTGGCAAAGTGCGGACCTCGCTTAAAATTAAATATTAAAAGTAAATAAAAAATGTGCGGAATATTTTCCATATTTTCGCGGGATGGCGAACCGATTCCGCCTCAAATTCTTCACGGCAGCAGGCACAGTTTAAGGGAGCTGGCTTATAGGCAGAGTGGAAAGCAGCGGCATCGGGGTCCCGACTCCACGGGGGTCTACGTACTGCCCTCCGAGGGCGTGGCCATGGTCCACGAACGCCTGCGAATTGTGGGCGTGGAGAGGGGCGATCAGCCCTTCGTCTCGGAGGACGGCAACCTCATCCTTGTGGCCAACGGAGAGATCTACAACTACCTGGAACTTTCGGCGGAGATTGCCAAGAGACGAGGCTCCTACAAGCCCAAAAGCGATTGTCATGTGATATTGGAACTCTACAAGGATTATGGCAAGGATCTGCTGCAATACATCACCGGAATGTTTGCCTTTGCTCTGTACGATCGAAGGACCAAGGAGGTTCTCCTGGCTCGAGATCCCTTTGGTATAATACCCATGTATGTGGGTGAAGATGCGGCGGGTAACCTTTGGGTGGCCTCCGAGATGAAGTGCCTGGTGGATACTTGTGGATCCAAGGTGGAGACTTTCCCGCCTGGCGAGGCGAGGTTTGGTAGAGTTGGTGATCTTAAAGTGTCCTGGCAGTTTGAGCAACCTTGGCTTACAGAGGTGCCCAGTCAACCCTGCGATTTATCCCTACTCCGAGCCAACTTGGAGTCGGCGGTGCGCAGTCACCTGCAATGCGACGTCCAACTAGGAGCTCTTCTCTCCGGCGGAGTGGATTCCAGCCTGATAGCCTCCATTGCCACGAAGATCATGAGGGAGAGGGACCCCACTTTCCGGCTGAAAACATTCTCTGTTGGATTAAAAGGTGCCCCCGACTTCCAGGCTGCCAGAAATGTGGCCAAATATATAGACAGCGATCACAAGGAGCTGGTCTTCGAGATCGATGAGGCTCTGGATGGGATTAGGGACATAGTCTACCACCTGGAAACGTTCGATGTGACCACCGTGCGTTGCAGTTTGCCCATGCTCCTCTTAGCCAGATATATTAAGAGCACCGGGATTAAGATGATCCTCTCGGGCGAAGGAGCAGATGAGATCTTCGGTGGTTACCTGTACTTCCACAAGGCTCCCAACTACCAGCTTTTCCACGAGGAGTTGGTCAAGAAAGTGCAAGGCCTGCATTTATCCGACTGTCTGAGGGCCAACAAGGTGGCCATGGCCAAGGGAGTGGAGCTGCGAGTGCCCTTCCTGGACACCGGATTCGTTAACCACGTGATGCAGATCCGGCCGGAGGATAAGATACCAGGACCACTTAACCAGTTTGGAGGAGAACAGCAGAACAGAATGGAGAAGTACGTGCTGCGTGCCGCCTTTGCGGATAACTATCTTCCGGATGATGTCCTTTGGCGGCAGAAGGAACAGTTCTCCGACGGAGTGGGCTACGATTGGATCGACACCATCCGCAGTGTGGCCTCCAGTCGAGTAACCGATGAGGAATTCTCCACAGCCGCTCTGCGATTTCCCCTGAACACTCCATCGACCAAGGAGGCCTTCTATTATCGCTGCATTTTCGCCGAACAATTTCCCGGGGAGGCGGCTGCCGGAACCGTACGGAAATGGGTGCCACGCCTTGATTGGGGCTGTCCGGAGGATCCATCTGGAAGGGCTCAGGCCGTCCACCAGGTCCACAAAGACTGATAGAACTTATAATTAACTTAGTCTAGTCCGAATAATTCCAAGCAGCAAGAAATGCTGAGAAATGCACAATTAATTTATTGAATTAAAAATGAACTTGAGAGGCGTTCAATTCGTTTATATATGCATTTATTCCAGACATCCGATATTTCGCCATATGGTGATCAGACAGGCACGTGTGCTCCACTTGGCAACTAAGTAGGAAATGGGAAACCAGCTGGCATCAATTACAATTAATATGCATAGTAATGAATATTGTTATTTACTATTTACTACAAATAAAAACGTCAATCAAGCCAATTGACATGGGGTTTCGCTGTTATCTGTATGAGGTGTACGGTTAAAGGGCGCGTCGGTTAAGTGAGGCTTGATTACACATTCCATATCTGCATGTCTACTAAAGATTACACAATTTATAAGTGTTATCTCTGTTGAATATAAGGGCTGAGCATCTGTTTAATAAGATAACTGGAAACTTATAATGTTTGAGTACATTTTTTGGTAATTTAAACCTTAGCCATTTTTTGAGAAGCATAAACGGTGTTATAATGAATGATGAGAAACGAATGATAAAATTTTAGAAAGTGTACATTAGGGTGGACTTATTTTGTATGAAATTTTTAAGGCCATGCTCTCACCCCTTCATATATAGCCTTTTTGTATCCTTAATCCATTAAAGAAAGAAAAAGTAAAAAATAATTAGTTTTAGGCGGTGCGCAACGGCTTTAAAGTTTATTACGCATATTTCAGATTCATCTATATGCCGTAGACTTAATTTTATACTTTGACAGTATTTAAAAAAGTATCTTAATCATTTTCCCGAGCTTTTTAACAAGGGATGAAGTCGTTGATAAAATTCGAGTCCCTGGGAGGCAATTACAACTTAAAAATAACAATAATAACGAATAATCAAGGACTTTTAGAGTACAACTTATAAATATTACGGACTCTGAAAAATAAGAGTTTTCTTCTTTGACGAAAATTTTTATTGGCGAACGCAAAAGTGATAGTTAATCTTTAAAATTGTAAAATAGAATCTCTATTTCATTGTGGGTCGCAAAAAAAAAATGGTGAGTCGGGGATCGAACTCGGTCCTTTTTGTTCGGAGACAGAAGCTCTACTGGCTAGGCTACGTCCAACTGTTAATATTCATGAAATACATTTCTACTTGACTCTTTTATTCGAGCGAAATTAAAAAGTTGACATGTTAAAATCTGACAAGAAATGGAATGGGGTAAATTCCTAGTTTAACACTTAATTTTTAGCGAAACTTTAAGGCCATTGCGCACCGCCTAAACGATGATATAAAATTTTTCTGTTTTCGCATAAATTTATTGGACACAGAAACCTACCATTTAAGATGCTGAGCTCAGTTGACCTTAAAGAAGTCCACCCTAGTGTACATATTTACTAATGCGTGTAATCATTTTTCGTCACAAATGTTGATATCAGAGCTTTTGTATGTTTAAGGTGCGATCTCCACTAGTTTTTTTATCTCGTTGAACCAAAAAATTTTAAAATAGGGCACTCAAAGTTTTCCCCAATAGATTGCTATAGTTTGAAAATCTGAATATGTTGCTGTAAGAACTAAAATTTTCATTATTCCTGACCAAAACTTATTTTAGTGTGAGCGAGGAAACATGCTTGAAGTACGATAGTTCGAGTTTCGAATATGTCTTTCTCGCTTCCACTCAAGTCATTTTGCTCGTCATATTGATTCTTGCGCTCTTTTTCGAAGTTAGAGAATCTCCGAGAGAAAGAATTCGGCAAAATGATATTATTTAATGTAAATTTTATGAATATTTCAGGTAAAAACGATATGAGTAGGAATAACCAGAAAATTACATGGACTTATCGATTTTACGGCGACGTGCTTTTTTTTGTGTGTGCCTATAAAACCATAATTGGTCTAAAGATTTAAGGATTTGGGTAAAGTGTAAATGATGGTTGGTTTCAATTATCAATACCCATAGGTACATAGTTAGGCGCAAGTAATGTTTCATATCTCCATCGCACTTAATCTAAGCTAAGTAACGTGTGTCTGTCTAGGCACCCGACTATAGTTTTCTCTCTTGTTTTAACCTCGTACCAGCACTTTGATTAGCAAGATTCATATCTTATCGCTGCGAAAAGCCCTGAATCCGAGTCCCCGTTTATAAATCCATAGGCAGAGCACGTTGCTTCTTGTCCTTCACGCACTTCTTCCCTGAATTCGTCACGCTCTCGGCGACCCACCATCTTGGCCGTAGACCTCGAAATCCTCTCTTGGTTTTGGACCCCACTCTACTACTATTTCGGTTTTTCGGCATTTTGGCTCTGTGAGAAACTAACTAACTAACAACTTCTTGCCGCCTTAGAAATAAAGATTGGAATTAAGAGCACCCGAAACCCCAGAGAGCTTTGGCATTTAAAAAGCAAGTTCACCTGTTAATATCTTCATTCCGTTTTCGGATTTGGCAAAGTGCAGACCTCTCAAATTAAATTACAAAAAAAATGTGCGGAATATTTTCCATATTTTCGCGGGGTGGCGAACCGATTCCACCTCAAATTCTTCACGGCAGCAGGCACAGTTTAAGGGAGCTGGCTTACAGGCAGAGTGGAAAGCAGCGGCATCGGGGTCCCGACTCCACGGGGGTCTACGTACTGCCCTCCGAGGGCGTGGTCATGGTCCACGAACGGCTGCGAATTGTGGGCGTGGAGAGGGGCGATCAGCCCTTCGTCTCTGAGGACGGCAACCTCATCCTGGTGGCCAACGGAGAGATCTACAACTACCTGGAACTTTCGGCGGAGATTGCCAAGCGACGTGGCTCCTACAAGCCCAAAAGCGATTGTCATGTGATATTGGAACTCTACCAGGATTATGGCAAGGATCTCCTACAATACATCACCGGAATGTTTGCCTTTGCTTTGTACGATCGAAGGACCAAGGAGGTTCTTCTAGCAAGGGATCCCTTTGGGATAATACCCATGTATGTGGGTGAGGATGCGGCGGGTAACCTTTGGGTGGCCTCCGAGATGAAGTGCCTGGTGGATACTTGTGGCTCCAAGGTGGAGACTTTCCCGCCTGGCGAGGCGAGGTTTGGTAGAGTTGGTGATCTTAAAGTGTCCTGGCAGTTTGAGCAACCTTGGCTTACAGAGGTGCCCAGTCAACCCTGCGATTTATCCCTACTCCGAGCCAACTTGGAGTCGGCGGTGCGCAGTCACCTTCAATGCGACGTCCAACTGGGAGCTCTTCTCTCCGGCGGAGTGGATTCCAGCCTGATAGCCTCCATTGCCACGAAGATAATGAGGGAGAGGGATCCCAGTTTTCGGCTGAAAACCTTCTCGGTGGGTCTAAAAGATGCTCCCGACTTCCAAGCTGCCAGAAATGTAGCAAAATATATAGGCAGCGATCACAAGGAGCTGGTCTTCGAGGTTGATGAGGCTCTGGATGGGATTAGGGATGTAGTTTATCACCTGGAATCTTTCGATGTGGCCACCGTGCGATGCAGTTTGCCAATGCTCCTCCTGACCAGATACATTAAGAGCACCGGCATCAAGACGATCCTCTCGGGCGAGGGATCAGATGAGATCTTTGGCGGCTATCTGTACTTCCACAAGGCTCCAAACTACCAGCTTTTTCACGAGGAGTTGGTCAGAAAAGTGCGGGGCACGCATTTATCCGACTGTCTGAGGGCCAACAAGGTGGCCATGGCCAAGGGAGTGGAGCTACGAGTGCCCTTCCTGGACACCGGATTCGTTAACCACGTGATGCAGATCCGGCCGGAGGATAAGATACCAGGACCACTTAACCAGTTTGGAGGGGAACAGCAGAACAGAATGGAGAAGTACGTACTGCGTGCCGCCTTTGCGGATAACTATCTTCCGGATGATGTCCTTTGGCGGCAGAAGGAGCCGTTCTCCAACGGTGTGGGCTACGATTGGGTTGACACCATCCTTAGAGAGGCCTCCAGTCGGGTAACCGACAAGGAATTCTCCACAGCTGCTATACGATTTCCCTTAAACACTCCCTCGACCAAGGAGGCCTTTTATTATCGCAGCATTTTTGCTGAACAATTTCCCGGAGAGGCGGCCGCCGGAACCGTAATAAAAAGGGAACGTAATAATTGGGGCTGTGGGGAAGATCCATCTGGAAGGGCTTAGACCGTCCACCAGTCAGTTGGATTTTAAAATAAAATTTCTGATTGAAACCAATTGAAATCATATTAATGCATCTTATCTTTTATTTCAATTGCTGTATATTTATAAAAGTAATCAGAAGAGACAACATTGTTTGATTTCACAATATTAAAAGAAGTTTTAACCGGATATTTATTTCGAGCTAACTCTCCTGATCGGAATTTATTTCAATAATATCCTCGATCCAGTCCATATAATGCGTAACATTTGTATAAACATCGAGGCCTCTGCAATTTGAAGCTCCAAAGCTAACTATACCGAACTGGAAAGTCCTTTTAGCTAGCTTTGCGGTTAATGGACCCCCCAGGTCCCCATGACATGAGTTGCCGGTCGAATTGCCGGCACATATATGCGATTCATCCAAAACCACCCACAACAAATCATTGCAGTACTGACGATCGACATTTAGAACGGTTGCAGTCTTCAGAACCCCACTGGGTACACCACTTTCATCTTTACCCCAACCTGTGACCTCAAATGAATTAATTGGGCTAGGCACTCGTTCGTTGACCAGCAAACAGATGGGCCTTATATAATCTATGGAAAAGAGATTCAGTTCTTTTGGTCAATGTTGGCAATACCAATTAGTTACATACCTGAAAAGTGAACTGATTGTGCCATTCGAACCAGAGCTATGTCATGCCTTGAAGTAGCCTTTTTCAATGGGAATTGCTGGTGAATAATCTTCCGATCGATATCAATATCACCGTCCCTTGGTATGCAATCCGACGCCCTGCAATATTCTCCTAAGCGCACCTTACTGAAATTAATAAAATTAAATATTTCCATAGAAGAATTTCACTGATTTATATACTTAATATGCGGGGAAAGGCAGTGGGCAGCCGTTAGAACAAAACCTGCGAGTAAAAACCATAATTTAAAAGAGCTATTCAGAAATTTAAGTGAACTACGTACGAGATGTGATGAGCGAACCGGTACAAAAGTCATTATCATCTTTATTATCACTGAGCAACAAAGCCATCCATGGATTTTCTAGCACTCCAGCAATTCGTCCTCCAATCACCCGCTTATGCCGCGAAATACTTCTTACTGTTCCACAATCGTTTTCTAACAATTTGGCCGATCCTTCGTTGGCGCCAAGAAATATACCCGCTAACACCACAATTCCCACTATGAAGAGCTTCATGTTCAGGCAGAGACTGACTGAAGCCCGCCAGCACATCGGATTTTTATAGGATTGCCCAGCTCGCTGATAAGAAACTCTTATCACTTTAATGCCTTTTCTAAGAAGAGGTATTTAAATTTATTGAGCACGGTTTAAGCACAGTTTTAAATTTAGCTTAAAAAGTGATACTGACTAACTACAGAAGATCTTCGGTAGGTCGAATTTACTGCCAGCTTTTAAAATAATTCAATTTATAATAATACTTAAATTTCGTAATGAGATACAACTAAACACTTTGTGATTTAGGAGACTAAAAATCGTATAGGGGGGTCGTAATCTTCAAAGGATTCTAAGAAATATATATCAGAAGAAGAAATAAATTTGAAAATGTCCGAAACTTTAAAAAATCTTTAAAAATAACTGTGCCATCAAAAAAAAAATTTGGGGCTAACACAATTTGCATTCAATTGCTTTGGAGCTCTCCAAGAATATTATTTTGTAAACTAGTGTAATGCTGCTTTAATTGCCTTTTATAGCGGGAAATTTGGGATCAATTCTTAGGTTATCAAAGCAAATGTGACCCCAAAAGATTTCTGATAAAGGGCCAGTACTCAACCCAACAAAAAGTCGTCCAAAACAAAAACTTCATATGAAACAAAATTTTTTGACGTTGTTTTTCATATGAAGTTTTTTGTTTTGGACGACTTTTTGTTAAGTTGATTACTAAGCCTAAAAAACAAAAGAAAAATAATTTAACAGCTTGGAAGTCGAAGTGGAAATTAAAGTATGTCTAAAATGGTACAAATACACAGTACTAAATTACTGTGTAATCGAAAATCGGGGGTTCTAAGAAATTTATCCATATTCTTTTTGTTCGGCCTTTAGATACTTAAGAAGCGTTATTCAAATAAATATATGTTTACATATAAGTCTTAAAATATAACGGCTCATCATTGTTTTTTCATATAGTTGGCAACGCGAGTTTTCAGTGTGGCTATATTTCCAAATAGTAGTGGATAATTTTTTGGTATATTTGCAAAAGTAAAAATGGTATTAGTAGTATTTTTCCTACAGCCGGACGGTGTTATTGATCAACAATGCTGCGGTCACACTGTAATTTGTAAATTTTTTATTTTTTATTCGATAAATGTCCGATAGGTTGGACAAATGACGCCTCCTGAATAAAAGATATTTTTGATATTTTTTGATTAAGTATCCCGTTTCATGCTTTACAAAGTAAAGTTTACTTTTACTACTTGTATAAAGAAAACAAAAGGGAACGCTATAGTATACTTTGACTATCAGATGGAGATATGCAATCGTCAAAGTTACTGGCTCCATCTAGCGAGTGCTACTGGCTCCATCTAGCGGCCATTTAATTTTTAACGCAAAACTTTTTAATAAATTGTCAGATGTTTAAATTAAATGGTGGGCTTGAAAACAATTACTTCATTAATATGTCGCTTTCTATCGACCAGTTATGCCTCCAGAAATCGTCGTCTTGTACTTTTTGCATCTATCTTTCAGATCAGTTCGCCCAATTAGAAAATATCAAAAATATATTTTAAAAATATCGATATTCGATATATCAGGGAGAAAAATATCACGATATAAATATTTATTTTTATTAAAAATATCGATATATTGATATTCTTTTATATATTTTTCACATCCCTAGTAATTTGTAAATTTTTTTTGCAACGCAACGGACTGGCGAAACGCTGCTGAAATTAAGCTGAAAACCGTGTAATAAACCGCAAGCCGTGGCAAAACAGCGTCCCGCAGCCGAGGCGCAGCAAAATGTGATGTTTGCCGGGCACAGCAAACGCTCGGCGACCGCAAACACAGTGCAAATCCAGAGCCTCTGACCTGACCCCAAGCGCGTCACCCGAAAGAGGGAGAGACGGGAGCGAGAGCGAGACAGGTAGCGAGCGCGAGAGAGAGAGAGTGGGAGGGAAAAACTAGCGCTGCCCCGAAGACGTTGGAATTTCGTGAACCGTTGTTGTTGCTGCTGCTGCAGCCCAGCCAAATAACGGTAGAGAGACGGCAACAACAAACACCAATGACAAAGTGAAACTGACTGCGCTGCCCACTAAAAAAACAACCACAACAACAACAATAGCAAACAAAACATACGGAATTAGGAAGAGCAAAACTGTGATCTATTTTTTTCATTTCTGGGGGCAATTGTTCAATTTGGCTGTGCTCGGAAGTAAATTTAGTCAACTCGTTACGCGTATTTGCGGTGTTTGGCAACGCTTTTTCCAGCCGACGACTGGAAAATCAATTCTTCGGCCTGCCAAAGGGCAGCAACAACGAGCAGTTGTTGAAGTTTTTCATTCTGCTGCTGCGGCCCAGCCCAAAACAAAAAGGCAAAGAAGAAGAAGTGGAGGAGAAATAATAAGAAGAAGCAGCAGCAGCAGCGCAGCCGGATTTGCAAATAGGTATGTGAGTGTGTGTGTGAGTGCGTATCATGAAGATACAAAAACAAAATTGTGTTAAAATACACTTTTTCTCTATTTTACTCTCTCTCTGCTCGTGACATTTAGCCGCGGAATGACGTCGTCGTCGCCGGCAATTCTTCAACAATTAATTAACCAAAAATATCGGACGACCAGCTGGCAAACATTTTGTTAGGTTAATTTTAACCTCGAATAGCAGCACTTTGATTAGCAAGTTCATATCTTATCGCCGCGAAAAGCCCTGAAAAATAGTTACGAAAGCAAGTTTTGTTGATGTTTTTTTATAAATAGAAAATTGCGTATGCAAATGCTAATTTTTATACCCTTGCAGAGGGTATTATGATTTCAGTCAGAAGTTTGCAACGCAGTGAAGGAGACGTTTCCGACCCCATAAAGTATATATATTCTTGATCAGCATCACAAGACGAGTCGATCTAGCCATGTCCGTCTGTCCGTCTGTCCGTCTGTCTGTCTGTCCGTCTGTCCGTCTGTCCGTCTGTCTGTTTCTACGCAAACTAGTCTCTCAGTTTTTGAGCTATCGGGACGAAACTTTCGCAAAAGTCTTCTTTCTATTGCAGGTAGTATATATGTCGGAGCCGACCGGATCGGACAACTATATCTTATAGCTCCCATAGGAAGGATCGGAAGAAAAAAACTTTAAAAAATTCTAGCTTCGGTGTTTTTTGAAATATTACCTTCTACTTTTGGGGATGTTATTTTTTAAATATTTCTGAATTTCGAATTAATTATTTAAAAAATCGGACTACTATATCATATAGCTGCCATAGGAACGATCGGAAAATTAATGGAAAAGTAATAGGAAATAAATTCTAGCTTCTTTGATTTTTATTGTATTATCTTCTACTCTAGGATATGACTCTTTTTAAATATTTCCGAATTTCAATTTTAATTTGATCAAAATCGGACGACTATATCATATAGCTGCCATAGGAACGATCGGAAAATTAATGAGAAATATTAGAAAATTAACATTTTTGCGATTTGTTAATTAATAGGAATGATCTGCAAGGGTATATAAGCTTCGGCTGGCCGAAGCTAGCTTCCTTTCTTGTTTTTAGATGGAACGAGAAACCGATTCTCTCTCCCAAGTTCTCCTCGCTCTCTCTCTTTCGCTCTCAACAAGTCGCTGTTGTTGCTTAGTAATTTAGATATATTATCTCATTCTGGCCAGTCCATTTTTGCACAGAAAGAAAAATTTAGGTGATGCAGGGATCAATTTGAGGATATAACATAGTATATTTTTGAGGCTTTTGATTAAATTTAAAACTTTTATTTTTAGTGAAAAAATATAAAAATCCTAGTGATTGTGCACATAAATAATATTACTCTCCGCACGCAAATTGTTTTTGTTGTGACGCCAGCGCACAATGCCAAAAAAGTTGCTGCTCAAATCCAAATCCGAAAACGAATCCCCATTTATAAATCCATAGACAGAGCACGTTGCTTCCTGTCCACCACCCACTTTTCCCCTGACTTCGTCACGCTCTCGACGCCCCTGAGATGATTCACGTTTCGTGCACGTAACAACGCCCCACCATCTGGGCGGCCGTAGCCCCCCCGCTCCCAAAAACCCCCTCTTCGGCAACTCTGGCAGTCGAGTATCCAAGTATCCATGCAGCCACATATCTATATCCATGTATCCATGTATCCATGCCCATCCCCACCCGCACAGCCGTTCACCTACTTTTCCAGCTCTCTTTTGAGCCCACTTCTCCACTCCTCTACCTCTCTACTCTCTCGATTTATCGCCATTCTGGCTCTGTGACTTCACCTCACACGCAAATTGTTGGCCAACTAACTGCGGCTGTTGCTGCTTCTTGGAGCTCCACTGCGCACGAGCAGACTTTAGAACTAAAAGCCGATAGATGAGCATGTACAGGATTTGGCGGGAACATTTCACCAGGGAGGATGGAGCATCCTATTAGTCACTGCCTTTGGTTTTTGGACAACAGACACCTTGTTTTCTAGAGCAGATTTTTCCAGACTTGTAATACAAACACTATGAACCAAACATATCGTACCATTTTCCTTATTCATTCCTCATTCGATTACTAGAAACTTTTTTGTGTGATGTTTATTAATTCGCACATTTTGTAAACTATTAAGAACTAAGAAAGTTTACAAAATGTGCGAATTAATAAACAATTTATACTTTCTATTTAAAAGGTTTGTTTATATAAAACCGATTACCTTTTATTGGTCGCATAATTCTTATAAAAATAATACACAAAATTCTTTAGTCGACTTTGCAACCTGTCAACCTTGGATTTAAACTTCTCAAAAAGAAAAAACACATCAAAAGTCACTCACACAGTAGTTTTCTAAATCCCAACAATGGGTCTCTAGCCTAAAATATTAGTTTCATTTATACAGTACACTTGTAAACATTCAGTTGAAATACAAACAACACATTCTTCGCCGCTCTGCAATCCCTCCCGTATTCGCCATCAATTTCCCATTTAATAGCCCTTCAGTTTTACGATACCTGCATCCTTGCGCCAAAATCTCATGCAACTTTAATTTAATTTGGCAAACACTGCAGCTACACTAACACGGAATCCTGGTTTATTTCAGTTGCCGCAACCGGAACCGCAACGATGGCGTACCGGAAGCCCAGCGATCTGGATGGATTCATCCAGCAGATGCCCAAGGCGGACATGCGCGTGAAGGTGCAGCTCGCGGAGGATCTGGTGACATTCCTGAGCGACGACACAAACTCGATAGTCTGCACGGACATGGGCTTTCTGATCGACGGCCTGATGCCGTGGCTGACGGGCAGCCACTTTAAGATAGCACAAAAGTCGCTGGAGGCCTTCTCGGAGCTAATCAAGCGACTGGGCAGCGATTTCAATGCCTACACAGCCACAGTTCTGCCGCATGTGATCGATCGGCTGGGCGACAGTCGGGACACGGTGCGCGAGAAGGCTCAGCTCTTGCTGCGCGACCTCATGGAGCACCGCGTGTGTCCGCCCCAGGCGCTGATCGACAAGCTGGCCACCAGCTGCTTCAAGCACAAGAACGCCAAGGTGCGCGAAGAGTTCCTGCAGACGATAGTGAATGCGCTGCACGAGTACGGCACCCAGCAGCTGAGCGTGCGCGTCTACATACCACCAGTTTGTGCCCTGCTCGGCGATCCGACGGTGAATGTGCGGGAGGCGGCCATTCAGACGCTGGTCGAGATCTACAAACATGTGGGGGATAGGCTGCGACCAGATCTCCGGCGGATGGACGATGTGCCCGCCTCAAAGCTGGCGATGCTGGAGCAAAAGTTCGACCAGGTCAAGCAGGAGGGCCTTCTACTACCTTCGGCCCTGAAAAACACCAATGGCAATGGGAATGGCGTGGGCCTGGACGAGGCGGACAATATTGGATTGAAGGAGCGACCCACGCGGATGATTAAGAGGCCACTGCACTCGGCTGTCTCCTCATCGCTGCGCTCCAAGCCGAGTGTGAACGATGTGAGCGGCGATGCCGGCGCCGTGACCATGGAGACCTTCGAGTCCAGCTTCGAGACGGTCCCACAACTGAACATCTTCCACGCCAAGGACATGGACGACATCTACAAGCAAATACTGGTGATTATCAGCGACAAGAACGCCGATTGGGAGAAGCGCGTGGATGCGCTGAAGAAGATACGAGCTCTGCTCATACTAAGCTATCACACGCAGCCGCAATTCGTGGCCGTGCAGCTGAAGGAGCTGTCGCTGAGCTTCGTGGACATCCTCAAGGAGGAACTGCGCTCACAGGTGATCCGCGAGGCGTGCATCACAATCGCCTACATGTCCAAGACGTTGAGGAACAAGTTGGATGCCTTCTGCTGGAGCATTTTGGAGCACCTAATCAATCTGATACAGAACAGCGCAAAGGTCATAGCCTCGGCTTCCACCTTGGCTTTGAAGTACATCATAAAGTATACGCACGCGCCGAAGCTGCTCAAGATCTACACGGACACCTTGAATCAGTCAAAGTCGAAGGACATAAGGTCCACGCTCTGCGAGCTGATGGTGCTGCTCTTCGAGGAGTGGCAGACCAAGGCGCTGGAGAGGAATTCGGCTGTCCTTAGGGATACTCTAAAGAAATCCATCGGCGATGCGGACAGCGAGGCACGCCGGCATTCCAGACGCGCCTACTGGGCTTTCAGGCAGCATTTCCCCGAGCTGGCGGATCAGGTTTATGGCACTTTAGATATAGCTGCCCAGCGCGCATTGGAAAGAGAGCGAGAGGGAGGTGGAAATGTTGCTCCGCCGGAGACCAGACGCACTGTATCCCGCATTGGCCGAACTCCTGGCACGCTGCAAAAGCCCACGCCCAGTATGCGATCCATTTCGGCGGTGGACACGGCGGCGGCTCAAAGAGCCAAAGCCAGGGCGCAATATACCCTCTATTCGAGGCAAAGGAAGCCGCTGGGCCCGAGTAATTCTAATCAGGCACCGATGACGGGAGCAGCGGCCAGTGGATCGCTGCCCAGGCCACGTTTGAATTCCAATAGCGGCACGCCGGCCACCACGCCGGGATCGGTAACTCCGCGGCCCCGCGGACGAGCGGGTGTATCGCAGTCGCAGCCAGGATCACGTTCCACCTCGCCGAGCACCAAGCTGCGGGATCAGTACGGCGGAATAAGTAACTACTATCGCGGAGCCACCGGGGCCATACCCAAAAAGGCCTCGGGAATACCACGAAGCACAGCCAGCTCGAGGGAAACGAGTCCAACTAGATCGGGAGGCGGTGGCCTAATGAAGCGCAGTATGTACTCCACAGGAGCGGGATCGCGACGAACGCCGGAGAGGAACAATCCCGTGCGACCATCGGCGGCAGCTCGACTTCTGGCGCAATCCCGCGAGGCGGAACACACACTAGGCGGCGCCGAGGATGGTCAACCGGACTATGTGTCCGGGGATTACATGCGCAGCGGTGGCATGCGGATGGGCAGGAAGCTTCTCGGTCGCGACGAATCGGATGACATTGATTCCGAGGCCAGTTCTGTGTGCTCAGAGCGATCCTTTGACTCCAGCTACACTAGAGGCAATAAATCCAACTACTCGCTGAGTGGCAGCCACACCCGCTTGGACTGGAGCACGCAGAGGGCGCCCTTCGACGACATCGAGACCATCATTCAGTTCTGCGCCTCGACGCATTGGTCCGAAAGGAAGGATGGACTCATTAGCCTCACGCAGTATCTGGCCGACGGCAAGGAACTCACGCAGCAGCAGCTGCAATGCGTACTCGACATGTTCCGCAAGATGTTCATGGACACACACACCAAGGTGTACTCGCTGTTCCTCGACACAGTCACTGAGTTGATTCTGGTTCATGCACCCGAGCTACACGACTGGCTGTTCATCCTGCTGACGCGACTGTTCAACAAACTGGGCACCGATCTGCTCAACTCGATGCACTCGAAGATCTGGAAGACGCTGCAGGTGGTGCACGAGTACTTTCCCACGCAGTTGCAGTTGAAGGAGCTATTCAGGATTATCTCGGACTCGACGCAGACGCCAACCACTAAAACGCGCATTGCCATTCTGCGCTTCCTTACGGACCTCGCGAATACGTACTGCAAGAGCAGCGACTTTCCCAGCGAACAGAGTCAGGCCTGCGAGCGAACGGTCTTGAAACTGGCCCAACTGGCGGCGGACCAGAAGTCGATGGAGCTGCGCTCCCAGTCGCGGAGCTGCCTGGTTGCTTTGTACAACCTGAACACACCGCAGATGACGCGGCTGTTGGCCAATCTGCCCAAGGGCTACCAGGACTCGGCCCGCTCCTGCATTCAGTCGCACATGCGGCGGCAAAGCCAAAGCGGTAATTCGGGTGCCAATTCGCCTAGTAGCTCACCCCTGAGCAGCAGCAGCCCCAAGCCGCTGCAAAGCCCGTCTGTGGGTCCATTTGCCTCGCTGCAGAGCCACCACCACCAGCTCAGCCTGAGCTCCACTAGTCCCCGCTCGCGGCAGTCGTCCGTGGAGCAGGAGCTGCTCTTCTCCTCGGAGCTGGACAGCATTCAGCATAATATTCAGAAGACCTCTGAGGAGATCCGGCACTGCTTCGGCGGTCAGTACCAGACGGCGCTGGCGCCCAATGGCTTCAACGGACACCTGCAGTATCATCACGATCAGGGGCAGCAGGACTCGTGCGCCTCCCTGTCTTCCAACTCCAAGACGCAGTCGTCGGCCAACACCACGCAGTCGAATACCCCGGAATCGGCCACCATGCGTCTGGATAACCTAGATCACCGGGATAGAGCCAGCCAGAATGCCAAGTCGCCGCAGCCGACGGGCGATGCCAAGGTGCACATGGTGTCGCTGAGTATGACGGAGAACGGTGAGCTGATCCTGCCCAGCGACCTCATGGAGAGCGAAGTGGTGCGCGTGGCCCTGACCCTAACGAAGGACCAGCCCGTGGAGCTGCTGCAGACGTCGCTAACCAACCTGGGCATCTGCATCAAGGGCGGCAACTGTGAGCTGCCCAACAAGCACTTTCGGTCGATCATGCGCATGCTGCTCAACATTCTGGAGGCGGAGCACACGGACGTGGTGATTGCCGGCCTGCATGTGCTCAGCAAGATAATGCGCAGCCAGAAGATGCGCCACAACTGGATGCACTTCCTCGAGCTGATCCTGCTGAAGATCATCCAGTGCTATCAGCACAGCAAGGAGGCCTTGCGGGAAATCGACGCGATGATACCGAGGATAGCACCCTGCCTGCCGCTCGATCTGTCCATCAACATTGTCAATCCGGTAATTGCGACGGGCGAGTTCCCCACCAATTTGTGCGCCATCAAGATCCTGCTCGAGGTGACCGAACACCATGGCTCGGAGATTACGGACGCCCACCTGGATATTGTGTTCCCGAATCTGGCGAGATCGGCGGATGACCTGCAATCGATGGTGCGCAAGGCGGCGGTCTTCTGCATCGTCAAGCTGTACTTTGTGCTGGGCGAGGAGAAGGTCAAACCGAAGCTGTCCGTGCTGAATCCCAGCAAGGTGCGGCTGCTCAACGTGTACATTGAGAAGCAGCGAAACTGCATCAGCGGTGGTGGCTCCACCAAGAACTCGTCGGCGGCGTCGTCCTCATGATTGCGGGAGCCTCTGCCAGGATTCCTGCACCAGCACCTTAAACAAGACACGGACGCAGTTGCGTCCCTCGGCCTACGAAGAAAGTGAGGAGCGGCGGACATTTAATGATATATAATGCATAAACTAATTATTTATAACTAATTATTACCGATGATCCAATAATTGTGTAATCGATGCGTATATAAAGCAGACGCAAAGCGATACAACCAGCTAATTGTACTAAAATTGTAGCCAACTCCGCACCCCTTTATCCCACTCAGTCGCTCAGTTGTATGTGTTTTACCAGCTCCTAACTTCTGTTTAGTTTGTAAGCCTATATACCGCTCTTTCGGAACGCCAGGCGTATGCTTTTGTACTTTAGTTCCAGACGTCTTCGTGTCCTTATTTCGTTTCCGCTCAACTAAATTCTAATTACTATTACTGCTACGATTCTGCTCTTCTTACAACTGAACTATTTTTGTAATTAATTTAAAAAAACACAAACCCACACAAAAGGATAAAAACAATAAACACTTCTAGGTTATGTAATAATATTTATAAATTAATTAAACGAATAAAACTGTTTAAAAAAAGTCCCAAAATACATGATGTAAACAACAAGTCAGCGTTTTGTTTGCCAACATCTTTTGCTAATCGTTTTGCGTGATTTATTTCATAAAATTCAAACTTTTCAAATATTTATTTACACACGGACTTAATTATACTAAATACTTGGTTTATTTTGTTTCGTCCTCGGTTGTTGTTCCTTCACTTTACTGAAGACATCCAATACTTAGTTGGCATAAAATGTCAACGCTACAAGGTTTTCTTCTTTTTTTTTGGTTGGTGAGTAGTTTCTTTTTCGTATTAACTAGTTTCTTGTTTTAATCGCTATTAAACATTTTTGAATGTCGCTCGATGTGTTTGGATTTTTTCCGTTTTTGGTAATTCGGTTGTTTTTGTCTTCATTGATTTGTTCGATTTGCATTTGAAATTTTGTTGGGCCCCTTTGAAACCTGAACTTGGTTGTTTCTCTACAAGTAAATCATACAAATTCGTTACGTTTATTTGTTCACGCACAGATATTGGAAATAAATTCAAGTAAATTAAGGCACTCAATACAACAAAGAAATCGACTCGAAAATGAATAAGTTGTTAGTAAATCGATAGAAACTAAATCAATTTAGCCAAGTACAAATTAGTGCGGTGGTTCGAGTGTGTCTCTGTATGGGTGTATCTGTATCTGTGAGAGTGTATATGTGTGTGTCGGTGTCCTAGCCTAAAATGTACTGCATTGCTTTAACATTAACTATCTGGCTTTAGATTACCGTAGCTAATCTTTAATTTGTATTTGTATTGTACATAAACGTAATTCCTAAATTATGGTGTTTTCAATTAAATATATATTTTTCAATGGCACATCTTTTTGCTAAATGTAAGATTTTCGCTCTGTTTTATTTGATTTTTACGGGCGCACTTCGGAATTTTGGTGCCCCAAAAAAATTGGTTTCCAATCGGAAACGGTGCTGTAAACAATTTTGAGTGTGTTTCTTACTTTCAAGTAGAAGTTGAGAAAAAATGTCTCCTAACACCTGGAGGCCTCGAAAACTTTTAGATCCCATTACCAACTGCCCAAGTAGTTTGACTATCATCTAGTGTTACATATACGAAATGCATATTTATGTACAGTGGGACAAGATTTCAACTTACACTCTGAATCGATTTAAAACGCCTTCGATTTAAAATACATTGAACTACTTAATTGATTATTACTCATTTACATGTAGATGGTTTGCTAACAATATTTTGGCTTCTTGTTTCTTTTGTTTTTCTTGGATTTCTTTTTTTTTTTCTTGTGGTAAATTTTGAACGCACTCATTGCCAACAATGCCCCCCGACAACAACAACTCTTTCGGGGGGAGTCCATTGTCCAATTTTGACCGAAAAAGGCACACACAGAGAATATCGAATGACAACGACTATGCACGACTACAACAACACTAACCCTAAGCTATATATGATCCGCTCGACATCGGTGGACCGCCTCTAGTAGCCGTTGCAGCGGATTTCCCCGTAGCGACCTCTTGGTCTGCCAGCCCCGTAGGCCGCATATCGCTCATACGCCATGTAGTCCGCCATCTCGTAGCCGTAGCCCCGCATTCGATTCCTTGGATTGCCATAGCCGCCTTGGTTCTGCTCCTCGTAGGCGTAGTTGTAGTTGTGAGTGGGCGTGGCCGGGGGATCGATGTAGCCGCCGGCTGAGAGATGAGCTGGGAAATTGCTGGGCGCACTGGCTGCATATTCCTCGGCCAAACGTTCCACCAGCGATTCGGGCGTCTGCAGGAATCGCTCGGAAAAGCGACCGATTTCGGTGGAGCCGAAGGCCTGCAGGAAACCCGGCAGGGGCTTGATGTCCTGTGGGGATTTAAAGGGTGCTATTAGTGATATTTATTATTTGTTATTTTTTCTCAGTATTTAATTAATGCAAAATAATCGTTGAAATTTACTTAAATATCTATTTAAAATATATAACTTTATATAACCTTTATTCTTAGTATTTTATTTTATAGGTATTATTCTTTATTTTGCATGTACATAAAGTAGAAAAAACTCGTTTTGAAGAATTAAGAATTTGATTATTCGAAATTAAAACTAATGAAATATTTTAGGAATTAAAATTTATTTAATATCTGAAAACCTTTCAAAATGCAAATTTAAATTGGGTAAACCAAAATATATATCTTTATTTAAACTTTATTTGTTTGTAATGCTGTAACCTCATTTTGATCTCATAAGAAGAATAGGGAATTATTTTCAAAAATGCTTCTATTCCGATTCTAACTTAAAATAGAATATAATTATATCTGTATAACTTTGGAACTCACCCTAATTTGTTCCCTTACAATGGGCTCCACAGCCTCCACGTTCTCACTGCCGCCGGCTTCCTTTTTGGCCGCCTTCCGTTTTGATTTCTTGCTCGGAATGAGATCGCACTCGATGATGCGGTTGTTGTTGCTGCTGCGATTTCTGCCCGTCGTTGCATTGCTCCGCTTCATGTTGCTCGCCTGCTGTTGCTGCTGCAAGTGCAATTGCTGCTGTTGTTGCTGTTGCAGGAGGGGAGCCAAAGCAGGTGGCACACTCGCATTCTGGCCAAAGCCAATTGGCGAGTTCTGTGGCGCCGGCGGAGTGCGGGGGCATCGTTGCGGCGTTGGACTCCAGTTGTCCGTCGCAGGATGTGGCTGCTGTTGTTGTTGTTGTGGTTGCTGTTGCAAGTAAGCGAAATAAAAATCGAATTAGTTTTTTTCCAAGCTGTTTCTGCAGCGGCAAAGTTGTTACGCTCAAGTGGCGGGCCCTTGAACAACTTCCCCTTGGATTTTCTATACCCCAATCCCAATCCCAATCCCAGTTCCATTTCCATTCCCCGCCAGCTGGCCGGCGCGTGCTCGCTGCTGGCAGCTCGTGTTACCAGGCAACCCCCAAAAGAGCCACCTCCTCCTCTCCTGGAGCTGCTTCTCCAATCTTGCCAGCCAGTCAGCCAGCCAGCCGGGTGAAGTTCAACGTAGCGCCCCAAAAATCAATAGGCGCCCCTTTTTATGTGCGGCCGGGACACCCTGTAAGAAGGCTTCTCTCTCTGGGAGAGCTTTTCCCGTGCTTTCTCTCAGTTTTCCCGAATCGAATCTCTCTGTGAAGCCGGTCGATGGAGCTAAACGCATTTCGCTTTTGGCCTTCTCTCTTTTTTTTTGGCCAGGACGGGTTGTGATGGGTGATGACTGCTCCTCTGGTGGGCGGCTGTCATTATCAGGCTCGGATTGTTGGCCTAATTTAACCCCGGACTGCCTCTTAATTATAAACCCACCCTCGTTCATCTCCGAACTTCACGCTGCACACCTGCAGCTTTAATTTGCAATTTTTCCCGCCCGTCGCTAATTCGATTTCAGCCACTTTTATTCACTTACCGCATGTCCTGGCTGCTCGTCGGCCGCCTCGATTATTGGATCACCACAAGGAGTAGTATCCTGCGGCGTCGTCGGCGCTTCCGAGGATGCTCCTGTCTCCGGCTGCAAATTGATTTCCGCACGCTTGGCAACTTCCGGCGGAGCGGGAAGCTTATCACTGGCCATTGGCGAGGTGGCGACGCTTATGTCATCTGGAAAACAAGTTGGGAAATAAGAAAATCAATACGGTATAAGTCTGAAAATGATTGGACTCCCTTTGCGGATTTCTGGGACTCTAATTATTTTGTCATGCGTGCGGACGGCAACCAAGGGTTAAAAACCAGGCCCGGAACGTTGACCATTCGAAGGAAGGGCTTTTTTCGCACGCGCTTATCAAATCATTTTTCCGGAGGCAATAAGAGAAGAGAGGGAGAGAGCGGGAGAGCCACATGCACTTGTTGAACGTGGCCAGCACACACACACACGCCCTCCCCCTCTTTCTCACCCATACGCACGAAATCCCAGAGAGAAGTCAACAAAAAACGTAGCGCACTTTTCGGCGCATGCGACTCGGCCTGCAATGTTTACGTATTTGCCATCAAGCTTGGCTATATTTTCGGACTTGTTGTTGCCATTATGGCAGTTCAGTTACTGCAATGCATTTAAAGCTATAATCAGTTGCGTCGATAAATCAATTATTGTTGCAAAGAGCTCTGAATATAGGTAAACCATTCACAAAAGCGATTGATTGATTTTACCTCAATAAATTTGTAGTAATAATCTTAAATACCATGGATATAATCACAATACCAACTATCCTTTACCATTAATTCTTTACTTAGAAGTCAGAATGGTATTATTTTTAATTTAAACGATTTTTTCATAACCGTGTTTTTTAAATCATGAATATATTAATATATAATCATGAATATATGTATATGGTGTTTTTCAAAGCTTAAATTGCTTTTTATAAATATTTGGAAATTTTAAGAAATGAATTCTTCGAGATCCCTTAATAAGGAATTCTTTTTAAGGTTTTTCTAGCTCTTTTCTATTATATTTTCCACTTTCCTTTAACGGAATATCCCCTAATTGCATTCCGTTTTAAGCTGCACTTCATTTCACATAACGGACATTGATTTTCGCCTCCATATGGTGGCTAAAAACGGAGATTGAGGTTGAAGTTGAATTTGAGCCCTGGCTATTGCACCAGGGAGCTGTTCCTATTCCTGTTCCTCTTCTTGTTTCAGGGTGTCGTTGGTTCCTCCCTTGATTAGTACACAAAAAAAATTTGGATAAACCATTTAAATATCAAAATAAACCAAATATTAAGACTAATATAAAAACTTTAAAAACTTAATTAAATCATTTTATCAGTTAGTTATTCTTCGTTGCCCTTTAGTGTTAGAAATCCCAAAATGATCTAAACTTTTTCTTCTGTGCACGTGTTTGCGGGTGTTCGGGCGTGTTTGCTGTCTGTGTGGGCGGTTTGACTAACGGTAGTAAAGCGGCAAAAGCAGCGGCAACCACCGCATTACGCTGAAAAGTTCATTTACATGCTGGCTGTGATGACATTTCACGCACACACCGATGGCCAGAAAGACACCCTTAGATAGGGCTGTGTGTGGGTGGGTTTGTGTGTGAAAGTCAAACGCCCATTGATAACGACGTAGCTCTACACAAAAACACCCACAAACACAGGCAAACACTCCACCACACTGGGAGAAAATAAATCAAAAATAAAATTTAGACTAAAGTTTTCCTAGGTAACACTTTTCAAAAAAAAAAAATACTAAGGGTAAGTTAAATTTTCCGGAAAAAATACGAAATATATTTTTTTTACCTAATTTATTTCTTCAATTCTATATTTCCTATAATACATAGTTTTAAATAAGAACTAATTTTGATTTTTTAATTCCTTATAAATGGGCTCTCCAATTTTTTCCAGTGCTGGAAGTTCGTTTGCACTGCAAAATATTTAGAAAAAATAGCTGTGGGTTCACTTCGCACCTGGTGGGTCATCCACATACACAGTTGACTTATTGATTTGCACACACGACAAAAAAATTAAAAAGCCACACATCACGGTGCAAAGTCGGGGAGTCTCGGTCTCGGGTGCTCGTATTCGCGTGCCTAAATAGACAGCTAATTTTGAAGTCCTCCGAAGCGCCATGACGTAGGTGCCCCAACGCCCCAACCACCCAGCCATAAAGCAACCCACGCCCCCTATTAAACCGAACCCCCCTTCTGTTAGGAAACGGAAGTATTTCAGCAGTTAACCAACGCTGATTGGTTGAGTGTTTGCAAAACGTCGGCTTGTCAGGCCTGTGAAATATGTGGGTGGATGGGCTGGCAGGGGATTCGGAATCGGAATCGGAGGAGCTGGCGGAAAAACCTGACGGACAGCGCTGCCGGTGAGGAGCTTTACGGACGACACTCCGGACACGCTGACAACGATGACGGCAACACGAACGGACAGTTCTTGCATTAATTTGCATGCGGAATCAAGCATAAGGCTATGAGGAAACAGTGGGTCTGATTAAAATTAGTGCTATATTATGAAACGGATTAACCATTAAAGGAGAATTTTTAAAGATAGTTTCAAATATTTCAAAAGGGTTTTTTATAATATTAAGAACAATATAAAATGCTAGTACAGAATTTATTTAAGCAGTTTGAAAATATTAATGTTCTGCATCCGAAGCTTTTCTATCGAGTTCGAAAAACAGTATCGATATTTCCGATATTTTTATCAATTTCCTATCGATAATATCGATTATTTTTATTTTTTAATTTTATTTAAACTCTCGATTAGTTCTTCAATATTTAACACTAATATTTAATATTTACACAAACTGCTTTACACTAATCGATATTTTCTAAATCCCCCCACTGTGCTCTCAATCGTTGATTTCAGTAACTGAAGTAACTGCCCGTCGCGCCGTCTTTCGCCCCTCGCCCCTTGCCGACTTCAGTACTTGTTACATAATCTTCCCCGACATATGTTTGCATAAATTTAGGAATTCTCCCCCGCGGCCGTGCATAATTGCGAATTAAATAGAGTGTAATGAAGGAGTGACAGCGATAAAAAAAGGCTGACAAACTGACAACTTACCGGGAATATCGAGCGGTGGCGGCGGAGTGTCCGTCCTTCTGGTCTCCGCCGATTGACTGACCGCTGGCTGCACTGGCACCTCCTCCTCCTCGTAGTCCCTGCCATCCCCGGGACAGTGGTAGGGCACACAGGAGGCGGACTCCACGGACATATTCACAGGATACTCGCCACTGTAGACGGGCGTACTCTGACTGCTGTCGCTCCTCGCCCGCGTGCTGCAATTGCTGATGCCGCTGTCTGTTCCGGTGGCACTGATCATGGGCGGCGATGTGGTCAACCGCTGGGGGGCTGGTGACTCGGCCACCGCCACCTCCACCTCGACATCGGGATCCTCGAGCTTTGGTGTTCCAGCCAGCGGCAGATGTTGACCGAGATGTTGCTGTTGTCCCAGATGTTGCTGTTGTCCCAGATGTTGCTGCTGCTGCTCCAGATAGCTGGGTGGCAGCACAGTGCGATTGGGAGCCGGCGTGGTGGAGCGACCAGGTGGCGCATAGTGAGGCGTTGGACCCGCAAAGCCACCAAAACCACCGCGCGTTTGATAGGAAGCAGCAGAGCTGTAGGGCAAGGGAGCAGGCTGCTCGTAGCCAGGCTGAGATTGGGGATAGCTATGCGATCGGGGCGGGTAGTGGAGCACGCTGGAGGGGATTAGCTGCTGGCCAGCCGGCGTGAACATCCCCTGGTGGTGCTGGTGATGCTGCTGGCTGCTATAGTGCGGCGAGGCATACGGGGCATAGCGATAGTAGTTGGGCATCGGGGAGTAGGGAGCCGCACCGGAGGAGCCACCATAGCTCCCATAGCTTCCGAAGGGATGGTAGCCGGTGTAGCCCGATCTGTAGGGCTGCGGCGGATAGTGGGACATCGTGTGGTGATGCTGCTGCATTTGCTGATGATGAAGATGCTGATGATGATGATCGTAGAAGCTGGCTGGATATCGGTCCGACATATTAGGGCCTCGAGTTCGTTACTTATTCCACAGGAGAAGGAGACTGGGCGACGTCTGCCCCTTGCCCTTCCGAGTGGCCAGCATATCGATATCGCTCATACGCCCCGTTGTCCGCTCTTATTGATTTTTGCCTTTTCGGCCAATCGCAAATCCTTCGGCTTCCTTTGCTTTCCTTGTCTGGCCACGCTTGGCTGCCCTTTATTTATATGTTCGAATCAATTTTCGCCACACTTGCAGTTTTCTTATTGTCCTCCGGTGAATGGAGCGCTGAATAAAAAAAAGAGAGAGCAAAGTGGGTGGGTTTATTATCGCACGGCAATAGTGTCCTGTGTGAGTGTTGGCCAGGACATTTGATGGCTCGACAGAAATGGGAATGCCAATGGCGAGATCGTTAAACAGTTGCCCATGCTTGCAAATAACGAGACAATTGCGTTCGGAGGGCCGCAGACAATTCAATTAACATCGGGCCAATAACATTTTATGCGAGCTACATGCTCTTGTTACTATGCGAAATTATGTGGTTTCAACGGTGCTTATCTGACCGCGACTAACAGATAAGTAGGAACATTATTGAATTTCTTATGGTCTTCCTAAGATCTTTTTTTATGGTATTACTTGTCTTGTAACAAAATAACTTAATTAAAAGTTTAGTGTCTTTAAAGGTCTAAAATGTTATGATAACCTTATTAAGATGGTTTGGTATTTTAACGATATAAAACTTAATAAACCAAATATCTTAAGTGTAAAATATGAATAAATTTATATAGAAATGTATTAAATAATTATTAAAAAGGTATCTGTCAATTTATATGATCTTTAAAAATAACTAAATATTAATCATAATCATAAAACAATAACTACATATTAAATTGTAATATTGGAAAATCATTTTTAAATTTTCCTTCCCCTTTAAATCCCCCTTTCTGCATGAGAATGCCGAATCCGCAAGTGCCTCAATTGTGGATCCTTCAGTTTAACTGAGTGCAATCCCGGCATTCCACACATGCTAATGAGAGCCTGAAACTCGCCGAATATCCCTGCATTCCATATCCCATGTTATGATGCACGAAATGCGGTTGCCGACTGAAGATGCCTGGGAAATGGGAAATGGATGGCTGGGTCTGGTAATTGGTGGTGATGAGGGGGGTGGAAAAGCGGTGACGGGTGGGTGCATCTCTTGATGGGCCATGCGCAAAATTCCGTTTGTTTTGCACTCACGCACAGGCAGCTGAGGCACCACAACAACGACAACAAACAGCCACTCGACTTATCGAGCGCATCTCCCACACACACAACACACACATCCTTCACTCACACATTCTTGCACTCACCCCCATACTCACACTCACACCCCCTCGCCACTCACATTCAATGAATAACCGCTTGCATTTTGGTCGCATGCAAACCGTTAATGAGCCACAAAAGTGCACACATCTGGAGTGGGATTGATAAGGACCAGCGGGTGGTTCCAAGTCGTCACCAGGCAACCCCGAACGTCTTCCAGCAGCTTCTCGCAACCACACAACCACCCATCAGCCGCACAGGACATTACATATCAGCACACGCAAATACTTTACACCGAGGAAAACAAATATGTATCATTCACACAAATTACTTGAATGAAAATTTAAAAAAAATTTGTCAATGAAAATATTTTTTTAATTTGATTTATAATTGTAAAAACTTTACAGGGAAATACTTTATAGAATTTTTAGAATAATATACCTAATAGTAACACAAAAATTATAAAAAATTCTTTTAGTTTTAAATTCGTTTATTATTTTTATCATATCGTCTTATTTCAGAATGTTTTTTAACTTGCGAAAAAATCTATTTCTCTTTGGAAACAATTTTAATTATAAGTACTCAAATAATTTTTATATAATTACCTCTTATACTTTTAAATATAGTTTTTATTTTTTAAAAGCTGCGGTAATTTATTTTTTTACCCTATTGTGTTAAATCCATATAGTAATTACTATGCCTGTGTACCGCCGTTACTTGTGTGCGTCTGTAAGCTTGAGCTTGACGTGTGCGTTTATTGATTAATAAACTTTTTTTGTGCAAAAACACCAGAAAAAGGCGAAAAATAATAATTGAAGGCAATCGCTAGTGGGTGGAAAGCGCGCGGGGAATAAGGGGAGACCTTTATTGATTGGAGAGCCCCAGCGACTGGCGTTCCAGATGAGCTTGATGACGATGATGATGATGTCCTGGCAGCAAATTAGCAAGTCAGGAGGGGGAGGGGCAGGACAACTCTATTAGCAAAGTCAAACACGGGGGCGGAGTGGATAACATAATCAATGTAAACACAAGTTGGCCAAGAGAGCGGGAGAAAGCGAGCCATTAGCCGGCGAAGAGAGTTCGCGAGGGTTTCGAGAGAGAGGAAGAGAGAGCTTTCGAGGCTGGCCCAAAGGGTTATGTTAGGTGAAACAACAAAAACAGTCAGCCGTAAATGAAATGAGCCTCGAAATAAGTCAAGTTAAGCAACTGCAGCCGTTGGAGTCCCGAAAAGGAGGCAAGTCTGGCCTCTCTCTCTCTCGAGTTCGCTCTTTTTGGATCCTGCGACAGGAAACGGAAGTTGAGCACGACGGCAGCCGTGTAAATGGATGGATGGATGCTGCGTATGTGTGTGTGTGTGTTGGTGGTGCCTCTTTTTGGGACAGTGCGACACAACAGCAGCAGCAGCAGCAGCAACAGAACAGCCTCCCACTCGCCGCCACCGTGTATATATAAATCAATAAAAACAGCAGCCCGAGACGGGTTTTCGCCTCAGTTTCTGCACTGTTTCTGTACTTTTTTCCCCATTTTTTCCTTTTTTGTTTTCCTCTTCTGCGTCCAGCAGCAGCAGAAGTAACCAAAGAAGGAGCAGGACGAGGAGCTGCTGGTGTACACAATCATTACACGGACCCGCGCGCGTCACACGCTGCGTATGTGCAATGTGGCCCGAGCGAAGCGCCCGAATGTATGCAGCGGAATATTGCGATTTTAATTGAGTCTCTGCTCGAAGGAATATTTCCAATGAATAAATGGGACAGTTCCTCAAGTGCGTGGGCGTACTTGAAAGATGTAACAAACGATTCTAATGCAGAAGTCCATGATGGTGTTTATGAATTAAGAAAATATTCTAAAGCATCTTTCTAAATAATAAATACAAAAATTTAAACAGTTTTATTGATTACTTAAATTCTTAAAATAAATTGTAATAATGTTAAAAAATAAAATAAATAAATAAATAATAATAAATAAAATAAAATAAATAAATAAAAACCAATTTTCAATAATAAAATAATTTATAAGAAGTAACTTAAAATAAACCTTTTAATGTTAGTTGTTCATGCCTTAAAATTTGCAAACATTTGAGGGTTAAAAATATCAAATTGTAAGGACATAGCTATGGTAAAAATAAAGTCTTCATTTGTTTAAGATTTTTTAGTAAGCTCAAACATTTTTTGGGAATTTAAAATTAAAGTTAAGCTTGTTATAAAGTACCATTAATTACCTAATTTCCAAAGGTTGTGTTTTAATAAAATTTATTTTCACTTTAATATTTTTCTTCGTTTTAAGTTGCTATTTTCCTTTATCGTATATTTTCACTGATTAAAATGTTTCTGTTTTAATTTCCTTTAGATTTTTCCCGTCGATTATTAAAATTTCACTAATTTGATTCAATTAAAAACCTCGCCTCTGATTTCAAAAACTCTCGCCACCACGAAAAGCCGTTAAAGTTGAAATTCTAGTGCCCACGCAAGACAGTTCACAATGGTTCGCGAGTGTGAGAGGCACTTTTCCACTTTCCACCGACGACTTTTCACCGATTTTCTCTTCGAGGCTCGAGCGGAAAAATCGAAGAGCGGCCAAGTGATCGGCGGCGTCACTCGGACGGAGGCCTCAGTTCGGTGCGGATTCGTCCGCCGTATCTGGGGATGCGTTACGTATACGCAGCGTGTGCGGCGCGCGCTAAAGTCCAACATAGACTGAAATGCGATACGCGGGCGCGCTGCCATTTATACACCGAAGGCCCCCGAAGGCAGAAGAAGAAAAGCTGGCAAAAGACACAGGCACAAGCAAGGAGCAAAAAAAAAATAAATAGAAAAAAACGAGGAACATAGAACACTGAAGCTGCTGCACTGGGAACTTTGTGACCCGATTCGATGGGCAACCTGCCCACATGCGCGAGCGAGCTTTCCTTTTTCGAGGGCGGAAAATGCGCTGCATTTTGCTCTCTCTCTCTGGGTTTTCTTGCTCTCTGGGAAATGGCAGTGGAAACTATTCGCTTTGCTTACGAATTAGAGCACAAAACAGAAAGCCAACCAAAACAGAGCGGAAAAGCCGAAAGGAATCTAGAACGTGGCGTTACTTCTAAATGGACGAGAGAGATGGGAAATTCCCCGAGAGAAAGAGAGAGGGAGAGAGAGAGAGAGAGCGAATTTTCCGCCAGAGTCCCGCTTGGGGGTTTCCCACGTTCGGTGTGTGCGAATGGGATATGTATAGGCTCGATTTATCGATGTCCGGGCCACGAATTTTCACCATCAAGCGAAAGAACCATAGCACGCTTTCTGGCATATCCGTAGTTCCCACCGCCAAGGGATGTTTCCGCCTATTAGCGGAAAGTTCTCCCGTGAACCTGTGGCATTTGACCAGCCCAACTTCAGATGACCGATAAGCCGCAGGGCAGACTGATAACCAGGCAGGTGAACTTTTTAGAAGCACAGGCGCATTTGGAGAGCTCGGAATTCTACAGTTCTGGTTTATCAATTAAGCTCAGTTAAGAATATCCAGGATTTTCCTTGAAAAAATTAAAGAATATACTGAAATTACGATATCTAAACTCAGTTTAGCTTAAAACAAATAATAAAACTAATTTTCATTCATATTTCATTATCTATCCTTTTTTAGTTACAATTACCCACGATTTGTATCCTATTATTGTTACTTTTGAATCAATAATATCTAAGCAAACACTTGAAAAAATAAAAAAAAGGTTTAGTTTATCCAAGAAAGCTATCCTTAACTTCAAAGTAGCATACTTAGAACAAAGGGTTTAACTTCCCAAAAAAAAACTATCTCTACACTTAAGAATCCGAAAAATTTTCGTACAAAATATTTGAAATACCATAGCCGTCCCCTAATCAATTATTGGGATTCCCCTTGCGGCTACGCGCCTGGTTTACTGGCCACCCACTGCGCATCCGCCGCACTCTCTCTCTTTTTCCTCTCCGACTATTTTCACAAGTGCACGTGTTTGTTGCGGTTTTCACATGCCAGCAGAATGAGGAAAGCCCTCAAAATATTTGTGGGCGAGCCTGGGAAAAACGTAAACAAAGTTCTGTGCGCACGCAACGAAGGAACAGAGTGGGGTAGGATGGGCTAGGATGAGCTCCCCATTCGCAGTCCTTGTCGGGGGTGTTTCTGCTATTGATTGCGTAGACGACAAACAGGGTGTTGCTCGAGCAGTCTTTACTATGGTATACAATTTAGAAATAGTCAACAAAACAAAACGACGACGAACGACTAGCCGAACCAGTGGGCACCCATGCAGTCGCGTGTCCACTCCGTCTGGCAGACCCAGCACCACTCGAATCCGCAGCCAGCGCGTGTGCAGACCATGTGCATGCAGCCGCCTGGAATGAGGAGAGTGGGATTCGGTTAGGATGTGTTACGAACTGCGTCTTTTACACTCACCATCTCGCTCCGTGGGCGTTCGACACTTTGGACAGGGCTTGGTGCTGACTTTGATGGTGACATTGCTGGCCTCCTCCCAACGCGCCTCGGCAGCTCGCTAGGAATAGCACATATATTAGATTACACAAGCGGGAAAGATTAGGACCAACTCACATTGGGATCCACGGTGTATTCGCACGAGTTTTGGCCCACGGCTCCCGTCCCCTCGGGCAAACACTCCCCGATGTGGTAGCCCTGCAGGCAGTTGCGGCAGAACACATAGCCGCAGCCGCTCTGGCAGGTCACCTTGCGGCAGTCGGGCTCCACCAGCAGGCCCATGCCGCAACCGGGCTGCGGACATAGGACGCCGCCCGCCTGCAGGACATACTCCTCGGTGGCGAACCTCTGGTAGCGATCGTACTCCTCGCGCGTCAGCAGCTTGAAGTGGTGGATCTCCTCGATGAACGAGTGCTCGCAGCCGGCGGGGCAGGGCAGGGTGTAGCCGTAGTCCGGATGCGGCATGAACTGGCGCTCGCCCAAGCGGGAGCGGCAATAGTGGCGAAAGCAGTCGATGCAGGTGACGTGCTGCGAGGCGCAGGGGAAGACCAAAACGGTTTCACTGCAGGAGAGGGAAGAGGATATATAAATTTATCATTCGACTAGGAGGGTTCTAAAAATATTCAATCAATTACACCATTTTAAAGGTAATTTCTAAGCTATTTCTATAAATAAAATAGAATAGAAAGCTATATAACACACTAATTTATGTTTTTAAAGCTATAATTAATTTGAGTTTTACTTATTTTTTTAAATATATACTAAATTAGAACTTATAAAACAATATTTTTTGGTTTTATAATATTGTAGTATAGTAAAAAATTACAACACAAATTCTAATTAATAAGGTAATAATTTATGTTTTTAAAGGTATAACTAATATATCAAATATACTAAATTAGAATTTATAAGACATCAAATCTTGGTTTTACAATATTATAGTATAGTAAAAAATAAAATCAAAAATTTTAAAATAGATTAATTAGGTAGATAATGAAAATAAGAGACATATTTAAATATTTTTTGCATTTTACAAACGATTTTCATTGCATAATCACCTGACATCTGTGCAAGCCAGGCAAGGCACATCTTTGATGTTGTTTTTGATAAGGTTTAGGGGAGCGGCAAAGTCCTTCTCCCCGCCGGAAACATGCTCCGCACACTTGAAGTAGAACTCGGCGAAGGGCGGATCCCCAGCCTCGTTGTCCACGCAGGCCACCTCCAGGCTCTCACAATGCCCAGGAATTCTACGCGATTTTAAAACATCATCCCAGCACTCGGGATCTCGATGGACAGTGAAGGCGCCGCCTTTGCACAGGGAGCAGCGCACCCGGAGTTTGCCATTGCAGAGCTTATCGCACTGGCCACAGTGGACGAAGAAGTGGGCCTTGGCGCGGACTCTTTCTGCAGAGGATTGGGGAGGATTACGAGGATTTACTACCCAAAAAAACAACCTGTTGCCTACCCTCATCGGTGATGTTTAGCCTCTCCTCACTCTCCAGCTGCAAATCCAGCAGAGTTTCATTCAGCGGCTTGGAGGGCTCCTCAGCCAGCGAAGAAGGTTCCTCCTCCTCCAAAGTGGCCGACTGGATTTTCTGGCGCTGCACAGGCGGTCTCAGGCGGATGGCATGCAAAATGCTCTGCTGACCCAGGTCACATTGCTACTGGAAAATAACCAATGTTAGCTCTATTTAGGGGATATATCATAGCAAATCCCATACCTCTATAGTGGTGGCATCGCTGAGTTCCTTGCCGGCGAATATAATCTTGAGATCATCCGGCTGCAGTCCCAATTGCGGAGCTACCAGTTCCTTTACGTTCTTTATGTCCCACTGGGGCTCCAGGTTCACCGTCAGCGTTTTGCCCGTGTTCGTTTTCACATAAATACTCAGTGTGTGGGTGAGGGTCTTGCCTCCGAATTGCAACAGCTCCAGCATTTTGCGTACAAAAGTGGCAATAAATTTAAAAATAAAACTCATTTGTTATCAGCTGATCGATGGCCCCCCTTTTAGTGTGACCGTATGTGCACGTCGTGGATTACTTACGCGCTGCCAAACACCAGCTGGCTGCCATTCGCGGGGAAACGCGGACACGAGAATGGCGCACAATTGAAAAAAAAGTTGTTTACGAAAAAATTAGAAAGATATAGAAATCGGATATGTCTGGTTTTACCTACAGAGAAGTCAACGGCGACTTATTCGGCTGATCGATGGCCCCCCTTTCAGTGTGACCGTTTTTACTTACGCGCTGCCAAACACCAGCTGGCTGCCATTCGCGGGGAAACGCGGACACGAGAATGGCGCACAATTGAAAAAAAGTTGTTTACGAAAAAATTATAAAGATATAGAAATCGGATATGTCTGGTTTTACCTACAGAGAAGTCAACGGCGACTTATTCGGCTGATCGATGGCCCCCCTTTCAGTGTGACCGTTTTTACTTACGCGCTGCCAAACACCTGCTGGCTGCCATTCGCGGGGAAACGCGGACACGAGAATGGCGCACAATTGAAAAAAAAGTTGTTTACGAAAAAATTAGAAAGATATAGAAATCGGATATGTCTGGTTTTACCTACAGAGAAGTCAACGGCGACTTATTCGGCTGATCGATGGCCCCCCTTTCAGTGTGACCGTTTTTACTTACGCGCTGCCAAACACCAGCTGGCTGCCATTCGCGGGGAAACGCGGACACGAGAATGGCGCACAATTGAAAAAAAAGTTGTTTACGAAAAAATTATAAAGATATAGAAATCGGATATGTCTGGTTTTACCTACAGAGAAGTCAACGGCGACTTATTCGGCTGATCGATGGCCCCCCTTTCAGTGTGACCGTTTTTACTTACGCGCTGCCAAACACCTGCTGGCTGCCATTCGCGGGGAAACGCGGACACGAGAATGGCGCACAATTGAAAAAAAGTTGTTTACGAAAAAATTATAAAGATATAGAAATCGGATATGTCTGGTTTTACCTACAGAGAAGTCAACGGCGACTTATTCGGCTGATCGATGGCCCCCCTTTCAGTGTGACCGTTTTTACTTACGCGCTGCCAAACACCAGCTGGCTGCCATTCGCGGGGAAACGCGGACACGAGAATGGCGCACAATTGAAAAAAAAGTTGTTTACGAAAAAATTATAAAGATATAGAAATCGGATATGTCTGGTTTTACCTACAGAGAAGTCAACGGCGACTTATTCGGCTGATCGATGGCCCCCCTTTCAGTGTGACCGTTTTTACTTACGCGCTGCCAAACACCTGCTGGCTGCCATTCGCGGGGAAACGCGGACACGAGAATGGCGCACAATTGAAAAAAAGTTGTTTACGAAAAAATTATAAAGATATAGAAATCGGATATGTCTGGTTTTACCTACAGAGAAGTCAACGGCGACTTATTCGGCTGATCGATGGCCCCCCTTTCAGTGTGACCGTTTTTACTTACGCGCTGCCAAACACCAGCTGGCTGCCATTCGCGGGGAAACGCGGACAATTGAAAAAAAAGTTGTTTACGAAAAAATTATAAAGATATAGAAATCGGATATGTCTGGTTTTACCTACAGAGAAGTCAACGGCGACTTATTCGGCTGATCGATGGCCCCCCTTTCAGTGTGACCGTTTTTACTTACGCGCTGCCAAACACCTGCTGGCTGCCATTCGCGGGGAAACGCGGACACGAGAATGGCGCACAATTGAAAAAAAAGTTGTTTACGAAAAAATTATAAAGATATAGAAATCGGATATGTCTGGTTTTACCTACAGAGAAGTCAACGGCGACTTATTCGGCTGATCGATGGCCCCCCTTTCAGTGTGACCGTTTTTACTTACGCGCTGCCAAACACCAGCTGGCTGCCATTCGCGGGGAAACGCGGACACGAGAATGGCGCACAATTGAAAAAAAAGTTGTTTACGAAAAAATTATAAAGATATAGAAATCGGATATGTCTGGTTTTACCTACAGAGAAGTCAACGGCGACTTATTCGGCTGATCGATGGCCCCCCTTTCAGTGTGACCGTTTTTACTTACGCGCTGCCAAACACCTGCTGGCTGCCATTCGCGGGGAAACGCGGACACGAGAATGGCGCACAATTGAAAAAAAAGTTGTTTACGAAAAAATTATAAAGATATAGAAATCGGATATGTCTGGTTTTACCTACAGAGAAGTCAACGGCGACTTATTCGGCTGATCGATGGCCCCCCTTTCAGTGTGACCGTTTTTACTTACGCGCTGCCAAACACCTGCTGGCTGCCATTCGCGGGGAAACGCGGACACGAGAATGGCGCACAATTGAAAAAAAAGTTGTTTACGAAAAAATTATAAAGATATAGAAATCGGATATGTCTGGTTTTACCTACAGAGAAGTCAACGGCGACTTATTCGGCTGATCGATGGCCCCCCTTTCAGTGTGACCGTTTTTACTTACGCGCTGCCAAACACCAGCTGGCTGCCATTCGCGGGGAAACGCGGACACGAGAATGGCGCACAATTGAAAAAAAAGTTGTTTACGAAAAAATTATAAAGATATAGAAATCGGATATGTCTGGTTTTACCTACAGAGAAGTCAACGGCGACTTATTCGGCTGATCGATGGCCCCCCTTTCAGTGTGACCGTTTTTACTTACGCGCTGCCAAACACCTGCTGGCTGCCATTCGCGGGGAAACGCGGACACGAGAATGGCGCACAATTGAAAAAAAAGTTGTTTACGAAAAAATTATAAAGATATAGAAATCGGATATGTCTGGTTTTACCTACAGAGAAGTCAACGGCGACTTATTCGGCTGATCGATGGCCCCCCTTTCAGTGTGACCGTTTTTACTTACGCGCTGCCAAACACCTGCTGGCTGCCATTCGCGGGGAAACGCGGACACGAGAATGGCGCACAATTGAAAAAAAAGTTGTTTACGAAAAAATTATAAAGATATAGAAATCGGATATGTCTGGTTTTACCTACAGAGAAGTCAACGGCGACTTATTCGGCTGATCGATGGCCCCCCTTTCAGTGTGACCGTTTTTACTTACGCGCTGCCAAACACCAGCTGGCTGCCATTCGCGGGGAAACGCGGACACGAGAATGGCGCACAATTGAAAAAAAAGTTGTTTACGAAAAAATTATAAAGATATAGAAATCGGATATGTCTGGTTTTACCTACAGAGAAGTCAACGGCGACTTATTCGGCTGATCGATGGCCCCCCTTTCAGTGTGACCGTTTTTACTTACGCGCTGCCAAACACCTGCTGGCTGCCATTCGCGGGGAAACGCGGACACGAGAATGGCGCACAATTGAAAAAAAGTTGTTTACGAAAAAATTATAAAGATATAGAAATCGGATATGTCTGGTTTTACCTACAGAGAAGTCAACGGCGACTTATTCGGCTGATCGATGGCCCCCCTTTCAGTGTGACCGTTTTTACTTACGCGCTGCCAAACACCTGCTGGCTGCCATTCGCGGGGAAACGCGGACACGAGAATGGCGCACAATTGAAAAAAAAGTTGTTTACGAAAAAATTATAAAGATATAGAAATCGGATATGTCTGGTTTTACCTACAGAGAAGTCAACGGCGACTTATTCGGCTGATCGATGGCCCCCCTTTCAGTGTGACCGTTTTTACTTACGCGCTGCCAAACACCTGCTGGCTGCCATTCGCGGGGAAACGCGGACACGAGAATGGCGCACAATTGAAAAAAAAGTTGTTTACGAAAAAATTATAAAGATATAGAAATCGGATATGTCTGGTTTTACCTACAGAGAAGTCAACGGCGACTTATTCGGCTGATCGATGGCCCCCCTTTCAGTGTGACCGTTTTTACTTACGCGCTGCCAAACACCAGCTGGCTGCCATTCGCGGGGAAACGCGGACACGAGAATGGCGCACAATTGAAAAAAAAGTTGTTTACGAAAAAATTATAAAGATATAGAAATCGGATATGTCTGGTTTTACCTACAGAGAAGTCAACGGCGACTTATTCGGCTGATCGATGGCCCCCCTTTCAGTGTGACCGTTTTTACTTACGCGCTGCCAAACACCAGCTGGCTGCCATTCGCGGGGAAACGCGGACACGAGAATGGCGCACAATTGAAAAAAAGTTGTTTACGAAAAAATTATAAAGATATAGAAATCGGATATGTCTGGTTTTACCTACAGAGAAGTCAACGGCGACTTATTCGGCTGATCGATGGCCCCCCTTTCAGTGTGACCGTTTTTACTTACGCGCTGCCAAACACCTGCTGGCTGCCATTCGCGGGGAAACGCGGACACGAGAATGGCGCACAATTGAAAAAAAAGTTGTTTACGAAAAAATTATAAAGATATAGAAATCGGATATGTCTGGTTTTACCTACAGAGAAGTCAACGGCGACTTATTCGGCTGATCGATGGCCCCCCTTTCAGTGTGACCGTTTTTACTTACGCGCTGCCAAACACCAGCTGGCTGCCATTCGCGGGGAAACGCGGACACGAGAATGGCGCACAATTGAAAAAAAAGTTGTTTACGAAAAAATTATAAAGATATAGAAATCGGATATGTCTGGTTTTACCTACAGAGAAGTCAACGGCGACTTATTCGGCTGATCGATGGCCCCCCTTTCAGTGTGACCGTTTTTACTTACGCGCTGCCAAACACCTGCTGGCTGCCATTCGCGGGGAAACGCGGACACGAGAATGGCGCACAATTGAAAAAAAGTTGTTTACGAAAAAATTATAAAGATATAGAAATCGGATATGTCTGGTTTTACCTACAGAGAAGTCAACGGCGACTTATTCGGCTGATCGATGGCCCCCCTTTCAGTGTGACCGTTTTTACTTACGCGCTGCCAAACACCAGCTGGCTGCCATTCGCGGGGAAACGCGGACACGAGAATGGCGCACAATTGAAAAAAAAGTTGTTTACGAAAAAATTATAAAGATATAGAAATCGGATATGTCTGGTTTTACCTACAGAGAAGTCAACGGCGACTTATTCGGCTGATCGATGGCCCCCCTTTCAGTGTGACCGTTTTTACTTACGCGCTGCCAAACACCTGCTGGCTGCCATTCGCGGGGAAACGCGGACACGAGAATGGCGCACAATTGAAAAAAAAGTTGTTTACGAAAAAATTATAAAGATATAGAAATCGGATATGTCTGGTTTTACCTACAGAGAAGTCAACGGCGACTTATTCGGCTGATCGATGGCCCCCCTTTCAGTGTGACCGTTTTTACTTACGCGCTGCCAAACACCTGCTGGCTGCCATTCGCGGGGAAACGCGGACACGAGAATGGCGCACAATTGAAAAAAAAGTTGTTTACGAAAAAATTATAAAGATATAGAAATCGGATATGTCTGGTTTTACCTACAGAGAAGTCAACGGCGACTTATTCGGCTGATCGATGGCCCCCCTTTCAGTGTGACCGTTTTTACTTACGCGCTGCCAAACACCTGCTGGCTGCCATTCGCGGGGAAACGCGGACACGAGAATGGCGCACAATTGAAAAAAAAGTTGTTTACGAAAAAATTATAAAGATATAGAAATCGGATATGTCTGGTTTTACCTACAGAGAAGTCAACGGCGACTTATTCGGCTGCAACAGCGACTACTCAATGTGTCACTGTGTGGCTGCCGATTTACGGATGGGCAAGGGAATAGCGGTAAAATTTCGGTGGGTTCGATTTACAGGGTACTATTTTCTTTTATTTTAATTATATATTTCCCTATTTTTCAGCAACAAATTTGGACAATTGCTGAGCCTGCAGAAGCAGAATGTTCAGCCCGGGGGCGTGGCAATCCTTCAGGACCAGCAGCGTTATGTTTACTATCTGATTACCAAAAAATCCAGCTGGGGAAAGCCCACATATGAACTGCTCCAGAGTTCCCTGATTGCCATGCGACAGCATATGGTAAGTGGATCTAATCCCTCTCTATCCCTGTTTATAATACCATATAAATATATATTCCAAGATATCCCACCAAGTCCCCAAGTTGGCCCTGCCCCGCATAGGATGCGGTTTGGATGGCCTCAAGTGGCCCAAAGTTAAGGAAATAATATGCCAGGTTTTCCAGTCGGATGCTGTGGAACTGGTCGTTTATAATTATGTAGCTCAGAAGTAAATGGCACAAATTAAACTAAGAAACTCCATTATTTGCTCTGCGGCGGCACAAAGTTGTAGACCACAATCTCCAGCGGTTCCTGGCCAAAAACGTACTCAAGGACTCCGCTGACTTTTTCCCATTCCAAACCATCAATGCCGCAGCCAATCTTCGGAATTGCCAGCTTATCCACGTTGTTTTTGCGCTAATATAAGAGAATAAGATAATCATTAGAATAGAATTGATTTAAGGATCGAATAGTATAAGAATTTTTGAGCTTTTCAATGATATATATCTGGCTGTGTCATAATCTTTTGAACTTAATGGAATATATGTTGAAAATATCATACTTTAAGAATGTTAAAGATTTATAAAAATAAAAAAAAGTATCCAATATTTACCATATGTTCGCGCATCTGCTCCAGAGATGCCTGCAGAGATTCGTAGGTGGGCTTTCCCCAGCTTTGGGGCTTGGTCACCAGATAGTAAATGTACCGCTGGTCATCCTTCAGCACCGCCACCTCTCCACTGCTCGCATTTTGGGCCCGCAGCTCGTCCACCTTGCCGTAGACCTTCTTGAACTGCACGGCGATTCCAGCTCCCATTGCAAGATCGGCGCCCACACAATGGGCCAGGGAATACGTTTTGGGGGCGGAGAAGAGATCCCCGTCCACCTCGCTAAGATTGTACTGAGGTTTTGACGACATTCCGACCACAAAAGCCCGTCGAAATGCTCCGCGTAGTTCTAGAAGTTTGGGAGAATACATTTTGATTGAGGTTATTGTGTTTATGGCAAAGCTACTAGATAAGAAATTCAAACTCTAAAACCTTTTAAAAAAAATCTCCCCATATCATTTAAAACTCCCATCTTTGGTTAATACCCCTTCAAGGGTGTGTTTTGTTTATTAATACAGTACATTCAGTATAAATACCCCGAAAAATATAAATTGTACGTGCCTTGAAAGCTCTTAGGTGTATTGTCTTAACAGCTATATAAGTATTTGGTGCATTCGGTGCCACAAGTCCCAAGCAAAACCAGTTCGAGTGTCATATATACAGTTTTCCCATGCAAAGATTTAAAAAGGGGTCTTTTCGCGATGAAGGGATTGCCTTGATCCGCTGACGGATCTTGAAGGCAAATGGATGGTCTTCATGTGCCTGCAGGTGGGACAAACGACGTTCAGCGTGTCCTTGACCATTTGTGGCGGAGTGTAGAAGAAGGCTATTATGTCCACGTTGTCCTCGGCGAAAACCAGATCGAGAAGACTGCGCACGCGCGACCAATCCAAGCGATCGATGCCGCAGCCAAGGCGGGGAATGGCCAGCTTCGACACGCCATGCTCCCTCTGCAAAAGGTAATTTTAATGGGATTTAAAATAGAGTATCCTTGCAGATAATTTTCTCACCATATGTTCCCGCATGGCCAGCAGGGCGTAGTAAAGTGCCGTATAGGTGCACTTCTCATGGCTCCGCTCCTTGGTGATCAGATTGTAGATATAACGACCGTCCTGCTCCAGAACTGCCACATTTCCGGTGTGCCTATTCTGACGCTTCAGCTCATCCACATGACCGAATTTGCAGCGGAACTGCAGATTGAGGCCCGCACACATGGCGAAATCCGCACTCACCGAGTGCACCAAAGCGTAATTCTCCGGGGCGCTGAATAGATTGCCCCTGGCCTCCGTAATCTGACACTTGGGAGCAGCCAGCTGTGGATTAAATAGATAGATTTTAATTGTTCTTTTGTAAGAATCCCAAAGTACTCACCTCCTTGGAAAGGTCTTCGTGCTCGCAGATGAGCACCTCGATGGGATACTCGCTCTGGGAGAAGGTCTGCTGCAGCAGACGCTTCACTTGCCTCCACTCGAGGCCGTCTTTGCCGCAGCAGATTCGGGGCATGGCCACTTTGGTGATCTCGTGGTTGCGCTGGAAAGACGGTACAGTGAGTATTGACTAACACAAATTTAAGAAAAAAGGGATCTAAAATATATAAAAATGTGTAAGATAAATTGTCGTCTTCAAATAATAATTAATATAAATAATTTAACTTTCAAATATAATGTAAAATTTAAAAATAGTGTATACCTCGTCAGAAGGATTTGAATAAGCATACAAATATTTAAAAAAGATCAATATTTAATGAAAACCATTGAAAAAATAAAACCATTAAATTTTAAAAAAAGCTACAGATCTTTAGACTTGTTTGTGCCAATTCTTGTTTTCCTCTTAAGAACCAAGACAAAGTTTTTAAATTTAAAACTTAATCCCACATAAACTGCTACAACAACTTTAATAAACTTAGAAACTGACTTTACTTTCTCTTCTGGCAATTAAGATTGATCAAAAGAAATATTTTTGTAAAAGAAAATTGCAATTTACATGGGATCGCCGGTTAACCGATAGCTACTGTAGCCCAGAGTTCAAATAAATTAACTGTATGCAAATTTCTTTGAATCGTTTTATGACTAAACAAGTAAAATCTTAAACATTTGGTTGACAAAAAGGGGGAAACTGTTGTGAGATATTTACTGTATCTCAATGTACAAATAAATTAACTGTAAATTGACGAGGGCAGTGCCAAAGAAACCAGTTTCCCGAGCTTCGAAGTGCGCTTACTCTTTGGGGGAAATGTCACTTGTATTTATTTTGGGGTAGACCTCTTTTAAAAACTCACCATATGTTCCCGCATACAGATCAAAGCCGCCTGGACGTCGTCGTAGGTGCTGGCCTCGTAGAGATTCGACTTGGTCACCAGATAGTATATAAATCGGGCATTATGCTCCAGCACAGCACAGTTTCCCCTGGCCACCCGCCTCTGCCGGAGTTCATCCACATCGCCGTAGATGAGGTTAAATTGCCAGGCCAGGGATCCTCGTTCCGCCACGAAGGATGACTCTACGGCATGGGCCAAAGCATGGGTCTGCGGGGCCTGGAATATGTCCAGTTTGGACTCCACAATCTTCACATTCGCCATGGCAGCAGCACACTCTGTATATCAACTGCAATTAAGCGGAAATTATTCTGATTGCCAACCGAAACCGAGTCTCAATGCCAAAAATGATTTTCGTACTTACGTGCACGCAGTGGTGGCGATGGAAACTTTCTCGTCGAGGTCGAAACTCGCGTTAAAAACTTTTTCGGCTTCGGAATGGTTTAGAGTTTAGTTTTGGTTTTGGACTGCACAGAAAAACCAGAATGAAAACAAAGCAATTAGCGGACGCGATTCGGTTGGGGATGGGGATTCTGAACAGTTAGCGGCTAGTTGGTAGCTTGTTTATTTTGGCGATTCGCCGATTTCCCACTCCCAATTCTCCCGATTCCGTTGGAGATTATTAATGAATCGACGACTGCCTCGGCCGGCGGTCTGCAGCGGAATGCGCATTGGGCGAAGCGACGTGCCGGGCGAAAGCCCAGTGAGAATCTTCGAGCCCCAGTGACAACATTTCGCCCAGAGGCGCCGCCACAGGGGGCTTCTAAAATTAATAGCTGCACAGCGAAAAAACCCATAATTTTCCACTTAATATTAAATGACTCGAATTGAAGCCAATTTACATATAATTCTAATATGAATATTAAACAATTGCCTCTGTTGTGATATTAGAAAAATTATCTTATCTTGCTTTTGTGGTCTTAATTGCCAAATTGGCCAACTCTAGACGGTTCGGAATTATATTGCAGACGCGGAAATTTACAATATCTTGTCAATTCTCTTCAGCTTCAAATAATCTGTGTTTAATTTGTGAAGGTTATAAGATCATATTATTTTAAAATATTCGCTTGAGGGGTATTTATATAAAGTTTTTTTAGATTAATCAAATTAATTTGTCTTTTTTATATTATTTATTTTATTAAAATTATAGACCACAGACAAAATAAAACTGAATAATATGTGAAAACTATAAAATTACAAGCTATCGGTTGATACCCTGCTTTTTAAAATAGTTTTTATTTGTAATAAATTTTAACAAGTAGGTATTAGAAAAATAGGCAATTAAATAATACTTCAAATTCAAACAATTCAGAATTATTGGGTATATTTTCAAGAACTATTGAATTTTTTCGGGTGTAATATCCACCACCAAGCATGACGATCCACTGACTCATAATGACGATGATGATGGCGGTGATGATGAAATACGTGTGCTAGTAAGTGTTAGCTGATATCGCTTTGTTTGTTTGTTTTCAGGCGACAAGTTGACTTGGCATCGCCCAAAATCGTCGAAGCCGCTGTAACAGCCAATTAAGAACTTGTGCAGGCTTTTGATAGCACTCTATAGATTAATGACGACGGATCGTTATTGATCGGAGCACCTGTATGTGACTATTATTGTGAATTTGTACCTGTGCGTGGGCCGCTGTCAAAGGTAATCGGCGCCCATGTGCTAAATAGGGGCAGTCAACCGACTAGCGACATTATTCGTTTGCATGTATAAATATAAATATGACTTAAATTATTCGTTAATTGAAAGGCAGGTGAAATATGAAAATATAAACACACACACAAATAACCATATTAAGTGACAAGTTGTATTCTAAGTCAAACAAAACAGGCAGCAGAACAACAACAGCTTCGATTCAATATGAGATAACGAACTAACTTTACATTTTGGCCGATTGTTTACTGACATCAAAAGTAAATATTTACCTTTCTAGTTATTAAGAAAAGGCCTTGCTGACAAATAGAAAGGTGACCAAAAGAAGCCACTAAGCTGTTTTTATTTGATGTATTCTAAATTCGTCCATAAAAAATATTTGCATTTAAATTTCAATAATATGTGGTCATCGAATTTTATGCCTGACTTAAACAAAATGCCATTGTGTTTACTATTCAAAGCACAGACAGGACAGATCATTTTATAAATTATATTCATATATTGAATGAGCAATTTGTACATCAATTTATACCTATTTTTAATTTAATTTAATAAAAACAAATGGCAACAGTTTTATGGAGATTGGATCTGACTTCTAATCTGCAAAAAAAGCTTACAATTATTGTTATTATAAAAACAAGTATTTTAAATAAATAAATTCTTTAATAAAATTATTAATTCGAATACCAATATAATTATATTTACTTAAGAACAATGGTAATTTTCTTTATATCCTTTTTGAATTACAACGCACTCAAATTGCGTGGGTGGTGGTCTCGGCTAAGGGTCACTACGTCATCCAAGACTGCCACCCACGTTTTTGCAGCTTTTCGCAACAAGAAAAAAAGGAAATCAGCGACAAAGCAACCAATTGTTGATGCTTTTTTAATTCATAAATTTTTAAAGAAAACACTGATTTAATATTATTAGATTTTGGAATCTTTTTGGTTGTAAGAGACACATCTTTCCCCGTTTTATGACCGTTTTTAATACGCATGTCACGCGGCAGCTTTGAATCGAATTTGTTATATTTAAATTCCGATTTCGCTTTTCCTCCCAAAGGGGCGGGCACCTTGTGTGGAAAAGCGATAGCTGCGAACGATGCCAGTTCACGGCAGTTCAGATTGTCGCCTCGAACGATAAAGACGCCCGATCCGGAGAGCTATAATATAGCGTAGTAACATCGCTCTGATTGGAATTTGGCGTGCCAATTGGCGCTAGTTGCTGTTGTTGTTGTTGCTGCTGTTTTGTTTGTTGTGCTAATTACGTAAATTGCGTGTTTTGTTTGTTAGTTGATTTAAATACTTTACGTAGTAGTGATTTGGTTAGTTGACGGCCCGCCAGTGTTTTTGTTTTAATCCTTTTTTTTATCTGGGCAATTAATCCCGCGCGCGAGTAAATCTCCCCGAGACAAAAAATAAGAGAAACGTTGTGAGTCACTTGAGAATTAGAGAATAACTAAAAAGTGCAGGCGAAAAAGCAAAGCTCACAGCCGTCACGTCAGCTGATTGGGAATCTTATTGGGATTCAACCCCTCTCTCTCTCTCTCGCGCGCGGTCCCACTTACGTATACGTAATATATTACGTAGCAGACTAGTGTTCTCGCGCTCTCTTCTATTCTGTTTTGGTTACCGCTTTTTGTGTGTTACCTTACCTTATTTGCCGACATGACTGCGCTGACATTGCTCCGTCGATCGGTTGCGGCGGTCAGCTGCGCTGCTTACGCCCCCGCTCGACCGGCCAATTGGCGGTTTTTGCCCCAGCTTCAAAGGCGCCAATTGCATTGGCTCACTTGTGGGCGGCATGCTGCTCTTTTGGCCAGCAAAACAACAGCAACACCAGCAGCAGCAGCAGCAGCTGCGCAGGCGCCAAACGCGCATGCTAATAATGCCAGCGGTAAGTTCAAAACTAAAAAGCGATTTATGCAAATTGCGCGTGCAGTTGCTGATTTATGATGCGGCAGCAGATTCTGTAAATAAGCTTTCAACGGAGTATTTAAATGTATCTACAATTCGCAATCGAAATTGAAATCAAAAACATTTGGTCTTTGGGGGAACTTAAGTTTTACAGAAAAATTAAATTTGAATTAATATATTAAGATTGATGGATACATAAATGGGTTAAAAATGATTGTATCTTAAACGTTTTAGCGGAAAGTAAACAAAAAATACTATCGTAATGGAAATTCAAATGATATAATATTAGAAAATCCTATAATACCTCAAAGAAACATTATACAAAAGTAAGAAATTAAAATTCGAATCAAAAATCAACTACTTAAGATTTCTTTTTACAGCTGATAGTTTTTATTTCTTCATTAAAACCTGTTTTATTTAGTTCCAACATCTGTTTTAAATATCGAAATATACGAGACAACCCTATCGTTTTAATATTTCTGTTTGTTTGTTACTTTTTGTATCTATCTCACTTTGGTTCCCTCTCTTTTTCCATAACTCAACCGGTTTTTGCAAAATTTTCTCATAATGACTCCCACACGCCGTGCTAACGAATTTCTATAGACGTTTATAATTAAAACAAATGTTTCTCTTTTGACAACCAACAAAAATTTAGGTCTGGCGAACAAGTGGCGATTTTATATGAAAAGGGGGACTGGCTCTTAATTAACGATAAAAACATTAAAGGGGAATGGGAATGGGGGCGTCCCACGGTCTGCCTTGCATTTCTTACTAATCACATTTTGATTGCCTCATTGAAAGCTCATTAAGCACTTGCTCATCCTGGAACTGGTTTCATTTCAATTGCCATTTTATCAACTTAACACCCGCTGCAAAGGCGCGGATCGATCATTTTTCTGCCATTACTCAAAAAAGGTGTTAATAAGCGCAGCGAATCGGTCATAAAACTTGTTTACCTAAGCCCAACAGTTGTTGTTCGTTGTTATTACTTAATGTACTCGTCTACTCCAGATTGATTAGGGGCCAGACCCCCGAAGCTCTTCAAATATATTTTGGGCTACGGGCTAAACCTGATAAGATAAGTGGGCAGACAGGGTAGAATTCTCCTCTAAGAGCTCGAAAAATATTTAATAATTAGCAGATGGAGCGTTGGCTATTTTTATTTCATCATCTAAGTAAACCAAGTCGTGTTCGATCCATTTGAAAAGAAACTGAGTCAGGCTTTGTGGAGAAATTAACTTTGAAATATTCTAGAATTCGGTTAATACTATTAACTTTATAAGTATGAGGTGGGTAATTTTTATCCAATAGTATGATGACCAACATATATTTTAAATATAAATTAAATATTTTATTTTCGATTACTTGTCTTAAGCACAAATTTGCTGTTTTTCTTCGCATAATCAATTTTTTTTAAAATGTTACTTTACAGTTACTACAACTAACAGAGAATTTTTTCGGTGCTCTAACTTCATTATTTTTTCGATTGGTCTGATAGGTAAATCAACCCGGTATTTTTCCCTCCTTGAATATATTTTCTTGGGTTATTAAGTGCCAAATAATATTTTCTTGCCTAATTTAACATTTCACTTCATTATTAAACTTAATTTTTTTCATATTTTCATTTCTTTGAGTGGTGTGTCTGCGTTCCGATAAGATAAGCCCGTTGTAAACCCATCAACTTAATTGAGCGTTAGCAGTGGATTTATGTGTTTGCCATGTGCCCATCCGTCCCACTCACTTTCGTTGTGTAAGGTCAACAAAATGATATGGTCTACGCCCATTAGTCCCTCCCACTTTCCCCCAAAACACACACCAAGTAAATGAACTCAAATTGAAATGCCCTAGACCGTCGTCAGTTTTCTTTGAGCTCGATCACTTGCCATTCATTCCAGCGCTTTAATTTAAAAGTACAGAAATAATTTCCACAAGTTCAAGGTCATTACCAGGCGTACACACAGATACTGCTCTACCCACACACACTCAGCACAAATAACTTGAAATACTCGCGCACAAATAATAAATAGCCAGCGAATGAATAAATAATGTGTGTATATAGACTTGCGAGCCCCCTATAATAGAAAACCTATAGAGAGGCAGAACCAAAAAAAAAAACACAGAAAAATATAAACACGTTACACGCGCTACGAAATTTTGAGAGATTGCGATTTCTTTATATACCATATACCATATCAGGTAGAGAGCCTCTTTATAAAACCCAGTAGAAACCTGACCAAACATAAAGCTGATAAGCATATTCGCCTCGAGAATTTCGGGTTTGCCAAAAAGAATAAATAAACAATAGCAGATAGAGCATGAGCATATAGAGTCCCCCTTTGGGCTGTTGTTTCCAAGCGTTTTTCTAGTGTTTTTTTTTGGTATGGGTGAGAGATTGCCAGAACAATTAGAAGTCCGCTTCGGTGGCCCCAGAGAATTTCGCCTCCAGTCGCTCATACGCCGCGTATCCGAAAGCACACGTTCCGCTCTTTGATAATAAATTCTAAAGTGAAACCAACCCAACCCTTTTTAGACTTTCGCACCATGTCCTCTGCTGCTCCGAAACTGGTGGCCGTTGCCGAGTCGCGTCGCTTCATGATCGACTGCTTCAAGGCCGTGAAGGTGCCCCAGGCTCATGCCGAGGCCCAGGCGGATCTCCTGGTGGCCGCCGATCACCGGGGACACTTCAGTCACGGCATGAATCGCCTCGAAATGTACATCAACGATCTGGCCATTAACTCGACCGACGGAGGAGCTGTGCCGAAGATCCTGAAGGAAACCCCGGCCACCGCCTGGGTCGATGGACTCAATGGATTGGGCGCCGTGGTGGGCAACTACTGCATGGATTTGGCCATCAAGAAGGCCAAGACTGTGGGCGTTGGCTGGGTTTGTGCCAAGGGATCGAATCATTACGGCATGGCCGGGTGGTATGCCATCAGGGCCATGGATCAGGGTCTGGTGGGCATGTCCATGACGAATACCTCCCCGTTGATGGCTCCCACTCGGGCCAAGGAGGCTGCTCTGGGCACCAACCCCTTGTCGCTGGGAGCCCCTGCCACCAATGGCGATAAGTTCCTGCTGGACATGGCCACCACTGCGGTGGCCGTGGGAAAGATCGAAATCCAGCGGAGGAAGGGAGCTCCCCTGCCCGACGGCTGGGCTCAGGATCCCGAGGGAGCGGTGACCAACGATGCGGAGCTGGGCTTCAGCACCGGCTGCCTGATGCCCCTGGGTGGTTCCGAGCTCACCTCCGGCTACAAGGGCTACGGACTGGGTGCCATGGTGGACATCCTGTCGGGCGTCATGTCCGGCGCCAACTACTCCACCCAGGTGAGGAAGTGGACGCACGCCGGCGCCGATTCCGCCGCCGATCTCGGCCAGGTCTTCATCGCCGTGGATCCCAACTGCTTTGCTCCCAACTTCGAGGAGCGCATGAGTGACTTCAACTCCCGCCTGAGGAACACCACGCCGGTAAGGATACAAATCTATTTTTAAAGAATAATTTATCCTTTACAGAAATTTAGAGGCACTTTAAAATTTTTAACAATATTAAATTTATTTTAAAACACCGAAAAAGCACTATAGTTGAGTGACTTAAATACCCGTTACTCTATTGACTAATTTAAAAATATATTTACTATTTTGAAACTATTTTGACACAAATAAAATAAATAAATTTAAAAATCCAATTAAGTAAATTAAGCCTTACAAAAATCTTCAATATTATTTATCTTTTTCTTCTGCCTGTTGCATACTTCCCAATAAATTCAATATACTCTTTTAGTCTACGGATAACGGGTACAAAAATAGTCATACGAGTCGAGACGAGATAACCGCCTACACATAAATATCTCAATATGCTCCTCAGAGCAGACTTTTCGACTTCTAGAGTAAATTATCAGTACTTATATAAGTGGGGATATAGCTCAGTGGTAGAGCATTCGACTGCAGATCGAGAGGTCCCCGGTTCAAACCCGGGTGTCCCCTTGTTTTTTGTCTTTCTTTTTTCTAGCCCAATTAAAGTACTTGGTTTCATGGTTTATTTTCGGTTGAGGGACAAACTAAGACAATCAGCAGGCCATAGTTATTTATAAGTTCAATATTTTCATAAAATTTATTTAAATGTATATTGTTTTTGTGTTCTGTAGAGTTAGGATTATTTAAAGTTCTTGTAATTAATTAATATTGTTTTAATTATCCATTTTATTTCACAGACCGATCCCGGCAAGCCCGTTTTGTTGGCCGGAGACAAGGAGCGAAATGGAATGGCTGAAGTCGATGCTGCCGGCGGTATCCAGTATCTGGAGAATCAGCTGAAGACCTGTGCCAACCTGGCCGAAAAACTCAAAATCAAGCCGCTGAGCTTTGTCTAAACGGGAACTCGAAAGAAAGATTGGAGGATTTAAATATGGGAGCCAAGCTCACCGATTGCCATATGCTGGAGACGCTTCTGCATTTCGACGGACCAAAGCACTACGTTACTTTACACTGCAAGAAATATTGATATTCGCAACAGTTTGATTTGCGCTGGTGCTGATTTATAGTTTGTTACATATCCTCGTGCACTTAGAACTTATTTCTAGTTTCCCAGAAGTCTGTCGTTTTAATTCGTTTTCGTACATTTAAAAGTGTAATTATTTATTACGAGTTTCCGACATTCTTTTGGTAAATTAGCCATAAATAGTAGAGTAAAGACTTGCAGCTTGCACTTTTATTATAAGTAAAGGGACGTCTAAATATCGTTTTAGAAAAACTACCATTTGTTATACAATATATTGCTTACGGCACTAAAATATATCCAAGTTGTGTTCAGCAAATACGTAATTATTAAAATAAAACAAAAACCTTATGACAAATTTTGATCTATACTTGTGTTTTTGATTAGTTTCTGGAGTAATAAAATTTGTAGGTCAATTAATTGTAATTTTAAAATTTTATTTTCATCTCAAAATAATATTTGTAGCACTGACAATCTAAAACATTTAATAATCCAAGATGACCTCGCTTAAAACGGCTTCGGCTTCAAATTTGGCATCTTTGTGAGCTGTCGGCGACCTTATGACCTTCCTGGACTTAAATTCCTGGCACTTGGTGTCGAACAGTTTGGGTGGCATTGGTTGTTTCGGCGAGGACACATGCATGGCAGTACGCAGCTCCTCTGGATCCTCGGTAACGCTCATCGACTTGATGAAATCGATCAGCCGCTGATTGTCCTCGGTGAGGCGTCGCTTCTCCTCCAGCATCAACAGGTTTTGGGCCTCGGCCATCGCCTGGCGACGCCAGAAGTTCCTCAGACTCTTGTTCAGCTCCACCAGCTCCTCCTCGGTCATGTCCACGTGATCCTTGAGGTTGAGGGTCTGCAGCTTGAAGTTCTCATCCACTTCCAACTCGGTGTCGTCGAACACCTCGCCGCCCAGGATCACTTTCTCCGCTTCGGTCTGAAGTTTCCTGCAGGTAATCGACAGGGCCAAAAGTAATTCCCCGCTTTTCACATGCTTCTCCATTTGCTGGGAATTCGGTAAGGTAATTGTAATTAAAATATATTTTTCGGATTAATAAATGAAAAAAATTTCAGATAAATAAACAGAGAGAACGAATATTCTCAATTTCAAGGACGTATGTTCTCTATTTCAAGAAGAAATGTAGTCAATATCAAGAATAAATGTTCTCTTTTTCAAGGAGGAATATTTCAATTTCAAGAACAAATGTGCTCTATTTAAGGAAGTAATTTTTTCTATTTCAAGAAGAAATGTTCTCTATTTCAAATACGAATGTTCTCTATTTCAAGAAGGAACATTCTGAGTTCTCTATTTGTAGTTTAGTGATATAAACCCACCTTGGTTAGTTCGTAGCACTCCCCAGTGAGGATGCGCAGCTTTTCGTGGGTGATGTCGCGGTCCATTTCCTGGTTGAGCTCGATCTTCTTGCGGACGTTGGTGAAGTACTGGAATTCCAGGCGGAGATCATTCAACGTGGAGTTATTTTCCGCGTCCATCCGAACCATTTCGCGCTGCAGCTCGGCCTGCATATTGATGTACTTGGACTCCTCGGCATTCAGCTTACGTGACTCCTCCATAAAGGCCGCCTGGCGCTCCGTCAGCCAGTGGATCTTCTCGTACTTGTGGGCATCCAGTTCGGTGCTCCGCAGCGACTCCACAAAGTCGTTCAGCTGCTGCTGCATGTGCGTCATCCGTCGAACGATCTGATCCCGGATCTTGAACCTATTCTCAATCTCGGTGTTCACCCGATCGTCTCGCTGCTCCAGATAGATGGTGTAGTCCTCCTTGATCTGATCCCGGGTGGTGATGTTCGTGGCATGGATGATGTTCTCGGAGTTCGTCTTCATGGCCTCCAGTTCCTCGGTGCGGCGGCGCACCTCCTCGTAGTAGTCCCTCAGCATCTCGTCCGCCTGCTGGTCGTACATGCTCCTCGCTCCGCCCAGCATCACGTGGAAGCAGTCGCGGATGTGGTCGATCAGCTCCACCGTCTTGCTGTAGCAACGCACGTGCTGATCCTGCGTCTGCGTCATGTCCTCCAGCAGCATCCGGATGTGGTCGTTCTTCGCCTGGATATTCCGCTCCGTGCGCTCGCCCCACGCCTTCATCTCCTCGTTCAGCTCCTTGATCTTGATCTCCCGGCACATCTCGTGCCACTCCTCGTTGCCCTTGTCCTCCATGCGCCTGCCCATCTCCAGTTCCCGCATCAGGGCATCCTGCAAGGATCATTGAAATAGAGGTAAAGTTATTGGCCTTTTAATATATGAAATTCTTGCTTAGATTATAAAAAGTTTTAATGTAAATATTGGTTTTTAAAAGTGATAAAATACTTATAGTTCCTAAACTGCTCTATAGAAGTCTTGCATATTATTTTTATTTTCAAGGATATTAAAACTATCTTAACAAAATATTAATAATCAAAAACATAGTCTTTATGATCTTATAATCACCATCTTATAATTATTTTTTTAACTTAAATAAATAAATAAATTAATTTAATTTAAATATTTGTCGGTTTATTCATCCATGAGGGATTTTATTAATTTAAAATATATAAACATTAACTTATGGTAAATTTTGAAATTTAAACTTTGTAATTATTATTCAAATTTTATGTGAAATCGTTTTATTTTAAATATGATTTAAAGCCAGATTTGATTGGTTAAAATTTTTTTAATTATAATTTAATTATAACCTAATAAATAAAATATCTAACTAAGCAAATGTGGCTTTAAATCGTATTTAAAAAAAACGATTTCACCTAAAATCCGATGTCTAATTATGAAATTATTAAATACTAACATTGTATTTATTATTTTTTTAAATTTAGCCTCTTATAAACCCACCCGCATGATGAGGCGCTTCTCCTCGATCATCGCCTGTCGCTTGGCCTCCTTCTTCATGGCCTTCTTCTGGGCTTTGGTCAGTTTGGGAGGTCCTTGTGGCTCCTGCGCCTCCTCCATTTCCTGCAGATAGTTATCCGATATGCGCGTTATGCGCGCCAAAACGTCAGCCATATCGCTAGTGTCTATTATTAAAAATATTAATTCAAAAGCGCAAAAATATGGAGTATAATTTTTGGGTAATCGGTTAGCAAGTTGAATTTAAATTGTGTGACTTCGTTTGAAAGCTGAATCAAAGTGTTGCTCAGAGCTTTCGATGGGTAAATTCCAACACTGGCTTTTAGCTTTTCCCAACGACTCTCTTTTTGGGTTTCGGCGCAGCATCTGAAGCTTCAAAACTCGGCACTGATTTCCTCAGTTGACGCTCAAAGCTTGGCTCGCGAGGTTGTTTATAGCTCCTGAGTCTCCGGGAAATCCCCTCGAAAATTCTGTTCCATTTCATTCCGTTCCGGGTAGTCAAGCCACCCACTGAAGGCACGCCACATCGTGTGGTCCTTTTTCCCGGCAGTCAGTGCCTTGTAAACAAAAATAACTCTGCTGCTTGGCCTGGCGAAGGGTGGTTACAACCCCCAAATCGGAAAAGGCAACTACAAAGCTCCGCAGGATAAGTGGCAAGGGCACTCCTGGCTGCCAACTTTTTCGGGGTTGCAGACAGTCGGCAAACAAGCTGCGAATGCGACTTTAAATGTCCATAAACAATCGGGCAAAATAAAAAGAAATAATAGCAATAAACCAACAGTCGTTCGGTGAATCGAGTATCTCGTATTTCGTATCTCGCATCGGCCAGTGCAACTGTAGCGACGGTGAAAATGAGCGAATCCGGTGGATATCAGAAAATGCCGCCCGGCTGGGACTGCAAATACGATCAGACAACTGGAAATTGGTGAGTGGCGAGCTGCAGCTATTTTATATATATAAAATAGCCCCCAAGTCATAAATATTTGTGCATGCATTAACCACAATGCCGTGAGAAGCGGACTGTACTGAAAGACAGTATAGAAGTAGAATTTCATTGGTTGCCCTGGGAGGCAACTGATTAATTTGCGTGCCAACGTTGCCTTGGGAGGCTCCCTCGTTGAATGGGCAAAGGATAGTGGGTGGTGGGTGGCACGGCGACTTTAAAATGCCAAGTGGGTGGTGGGTGTCCAGTGGAAGTAAAGCAAAGGTTCATGATGGCTGCTTTTATGGTGGGGAAATTGTCCGAAGGTTTACTGAAGGTAATTGTATACGTACTTCCCGTTTCTAGGAAGAGAAGGGTCTATGCACCCAGAAAACAAAATGGACTAAAAAGGGGCCTAATTACCTAAAATTTTAGGAAATATGGCCAGAAAAACGCGCCAAGGCCATGCATTACCTAAAATGTTGTCCATGTGGACTATATTTTGTACGCAGTCTTGAATTTATTTCTGGTAATGGTTACCTAAAAAAATGGCTAGTGGACTAGATTTTTAGGTCAGAATTACCTAAATATTAGGTATTTAAAAAAAGCTAGGATTTTTACTATTGATAGTAACATATTTGATTATTTTAATTGCTTATATTGTATTATTCGGAAAAGCAAATATTTTATCTTTCTGAAAAAACAATCACTTTATTTTGTCCTCGGTGGGAATCGATCCCGGGTCTTCTGCGCGAGAGTCCAATAGGCTAGCCTCTGGTCTACGGAACTACTTAAAGGCCCTGCGGCAAAACCAAAGCCTGCTTCAAGGGGCTCAGGCGAATTCTATTTTTAGAATAGGGCACTATTACCTTAAAAGTAGGAAAATAGTCCACGTAGGTATTGATTTTAAATATTGAAACTTTTCCATCACTAGCTTTAAGAAAAGTCTAATAAATTTTTTAACATTAAACTTAAATAACCGAATAATTTGTTTATTAATATTAGGGACCAATATTTGTATTAAGTTGTGAGTGATAATCGACTTTAAATTATTCCTAAATTTTAGGTCTTATGGACCAATTTGAAGGTTACGATGGCCTATAAAAATCTCTTTAGCTTTACCTAAAAAGTAGGAACATAGTCCACATGCTAATATTTTTAGGTAACCCATTACCTAAATCTGAAATTTTAGTCTATTTAAATTTTTTAGGTCATACGTTACCTAAAAAATAGTCCCACATTTCTCTGGGTGTGATGGGGGATACCGTGAATAGACTTTCGGTTAGACGGATAAAAAATTTAATATTTTAAATAGTTCCTTAATAATTTGGAAGTCCGGAAGTGAACTTTACTCTCTCGAAACTTAAGTTTCGACATAAAAATCTTTTGGGCTTATCAGTTCTATGAAATAGAAGATAAGTATGAAATATTTTTCGTCTGACTTTATCAAACAAGTTCTTGTTCAGTATGTTGGATACATTTTCAAAGCTCTTACACTTTATTAATTTATTTAAATAATGCTAGTTTAATATTTAAATCTATTAGCAAAGTAAACAGCTTTTCTGCCTTCTACTAGATAAACTGATTAAATTAAATGCAATGTAAGCGCCATTATATAGATGGTCATTTATAAAGCAGCATTTAAAACTCCAAAGTTCTCATGTGACAGAACCATTTCTCCATGGACTACTTAGGGCTCCTTAACCACTCCAATTGGCCTCGTTTCAGCGGCATAAATTGTGTCACTTCCGCGTCGTCGGATGCCAGCGGGGTCTTTAACTTCTCGTTAGCCTATAAAATGTAGAAAATGTATAAGGAACCCAACCCCCATTGTTTTTAGAGGGCTTGTGCAATTAAGCAACAAGCCCAACAGCGACTGTCATACGTTAATTCAAGAGGCCACTCAGCCGGAGACGAGTTTTCCCATCCACATCCCTGAATTCACCCACTCCCATTCCCAAAATCACAGTCACGATGGCCTGCCAAACGGAGATGAAAATGACGACTGTGCATCCGCCTTTTGGCAGCTACTTGGCACGTGTCTCGCTTTAGGTTTCTTCACCCTTTACCTGTTACCTTAACTTTCTTCCCCAGAGGACCATCAACATGTGGTCAGAGTTTCAATCCAATCTAAACCACCACCAAGCCGGCAACCGGCTTGAATAAGTCCACCCTTGGCCTGAATCCCGGGGAGCTTTCGATTGGCCCTGGGTGGGAGGTCATTCGACGGCCTTTGATTGCTCGCAAGCTCATCTTCCATTTGGTTACCCTTCCAGCTATTACATAAACTATCTGACCAAGGCCATGCAGCTGGAGGATCCGCGCGGACGCAGTTACAAGCAGTTGCAGAACGAGCGCTGCTCCACGGAGTCGATAGCCCTGCAGGTGAGCTTAGGAACTCCCCGATTCCCTTGGGCATTTTGCATATTATTGATTTCTATATTCAACTTTGCAGCAGTTGTCCAGTCAGCCGCAGACGTCGCACAACAGCTCACCGTACCACGTCCATCCCTCCAACAACTTGACCGCGATTCGGGCCTTCCAAGAGCGCCAGCATCCCACGCTACACAACGTCTCGACCAGTCCACTGTTATCGGCCTCCTCCAGGGGACAATTGGTAAGTTGGCTAAAGATTTAAGAAGAAAAGAAACTACAGCCATAAGTGTCAATCAAGTGACAAAAAGTTTGTAATCATACGTGGGAGTGCCCTCAAAACGAATAGATTTTTAAAGAACATCAATCAATCATCAAAACAATCGAAAAAGTTCATTACAGATTATTACAGATTATTTAGTTCCATAATTTTCAATTGGATTTCGGTTTTTACTTAAGCAAGGTACCAGATTTTATACAAAATAATATAATGGTCCTTCAGATATAATACCCTATAATAACTAACCAGGGAATCAAACCGAATTCTTATTTCGGTACCGGTTCCGGTTCTTTATTAGGAATCAGTTTATTTCGGTTATCGGTTCCGGTTTCGGTTTTATTCTCAAATCATTATTATTCCATTATTATTTTAGGAAAAATCAGCTAATTATTATATTATGTTTCCCTTTAACCGTCAGGAAATGTCTTCACCTTTACCCTTTCAACGAGCTCGCTTGGGACCGAATCTCTCCCGTCGCTCCACCATCCAGGAGACCTCGTTCACCACCCAAGCGGAAACGGATGCGGTGGTCACCAAGATCCAGAACATGTTCCCCACCGCGGGCGAGAATCACATACGCCTGCTGCTGAAGCGGTAAGAGATCGGTGGTAGATTCCCCAGCCAAGCCCAGCTTTCGTGTGCCAACTCAGCTAATCCCCACTAATCTCTGTCTTCTCACACGCCGCCTAATGCCGCTTACTGCACCCGTCTAACGACTAAAACCCACGACTAAACACTAATCCCACGCTTACTAACCCACGAAAACTAAAAAAACAAAAACCCACAGCTACTATAACAGCGAGGCGGTCGTCGTCAGTGCCCTGCAGGTGGAGAAGCACCCGGTGACCATGCCCGGTCCCTTCGTGACGCCGCCCTCGCAGAGGCACCTCTTCCACAGCAGCTCCGCCTTCTACATGACGCCACCGGCACGTCGTCCGGACGCGGTGGCTAGTCGGCGCACCTCGCGCACGGCCAGTCCCTTGCCCGGCGGACGCTTCGGTAGTCTCGCGAGCGTGCAGAGCGGTCCTGGTGGTCCCGGAGGCCACCAGGTGGTCTTGCCCTCGGGCTCGGCTGTTCCGCCGGCTCTGCACGGATCGCCCATGTGGCGCAGCTCGCCCAGGCCGCATTCCTCGCCCAAGATGAAACTGAGGTTCGCTGGGGTTGCCCTTTAGGGGAACAAAATCAGTAGAATCTCCTTTGATTTTTGTTATTTAAATTCCGTCAAGGTGTATAATTTATTTTCGGCTTTATTCGTTTGTCCGCGAGTTGTCCGCTCAATAGAAAAGCCATCTATTTGTTCCATTTGTTTTTTGGGGGAATAGCAAAAAGAGTAGAATCCCCCTTGATTTTATGTTACTTAAAATTCCTTCAAGGTGTATAATTTATTTTCGTCTTTCTTCTTTTGTCCGCGAGTTGTCCGCTGAACAGAGAAGCCATCCATTTGTTTCATTTTTGTATTTTGAAGGGAATTTTTAAAGGGATGACTAGGATTTATTTCGCATTATCAACATATCTTTCTTTACACTCATGGAAATCACAATTCATTCAGTCTCTAAATGTTGTAAGCTAAATATTATATTTATTTTTTATTTTTTCCTGGACAAATTCTAAAAAAAGAGTAGCACAATTAACATTTAACTTTCCCCGCATAGATACATGAAGAATATATTTCCCAAGGCCGATGAAGAGTTGCTCCTGGATGTCCTTGCCAATGCGGATAATAATGTGCAGTTTGCCTCGGAAAAGTTGATTTCATTGGGCTACACAAAACGCGAAATGCAGCAGCCCCACAGGCCCAACAATCGTCCACCGGAATTGAACCAGGATCAGCAGTCTGGCGGGGATCAGGGCACTGTGCACATTCCCCTGAGACCCAAGGAATATACCGAGGAGGAGAAGACCAAAAGTGAGTGGAGGTTAAAAAAGTACCATCTATTTAAACTATAAACTTTTATTTGCAGTGCAAGCTTTGCTCAAGGAGAAGTACCCGCAGATTGCCGAGCGCATTATACTGATGGCTCTGGAGTCGGTTAACTATGCCGAGGATCGGGCCACCCAGATCCTGCTGATTGTCCAGGACGAGGATGAGCAGAGGGCCCAGAAGCAGGCGCCCTCGAATCCCAAGCATCTCGAGCTGACCAAGACCACGGGAAGCGAACAGGTGGACGGTGCCACCGGAGACAGGTAAACCTTGACTTTACCCCTTACTTTTAACTCCTCGAAGAAGGAGGAAAGCCACCTGCTTAAACCCACTCTCTCTTTGGCCCGCTGCTTTATCCGTTTGTTAATCGACTGCCTATTTTCTATGTGAACTTTTGTTGCTGCCTCCGCCTCTGACTAAATCCCCGAACCAAAAAAAAAAAAACCAAAAAATCAAACACTATCCGCTTGCTTTGCGCCACTCTATCGATCATCATCCAGCCTGCCCACCGTGGTGGAGCCCAGCACCTCATCCAAACCGAAGCCACCGCACAAGCGCCACATTCTGCCATCGATCAATGTCACCACACCATCGACGTTCACCACCCAGATCATTTTGGCCCAGGCCACGCCCACACCGGAGAAGCTGGAGTCGCATCTGTCATCCATATCGAGTGCCTCCTCATCGCATTCATATGCCTCACCCGCCCAATCACCTCGCATCGAACGCAAGAGCTACGAACGCCTTACCACCAAGGGCATCCTGGCCAAGAGCGGCTATTATGGCCACGGCGATAGCAATACCAATAACTACAGCATCAGCGGCTACCTCGTGCATGGCTCCTCGAATGCTAGCTCCTACTCCTCCTACTCCGCATCAATGACGTCCTCATCGCTGGCCTCGTCGTCGGCCCAGTCCAACTCCTCATCCATCGCGAGGAGGCCAGCATTCGAAAGTCGCGCTCGCACCAAAACCGATTCACTGAAGTATGCCCGCTAAACCCGATACCGTTACCGTTTCCGTTTTATTACCGTTTCGCTAAGTAGAATCTGAACCAGAATCAGAATCAGTCGTTTGCGCATGCGTTTTTCAAGGATTTCGCATGGATTATAGCAGGGAATCCAGTTTTGAGCTAATCTTTCTATTTTTTTGGCATGCCTAAAGCAAATATAATCTTTTACTTTTATTAAATCTTATATTTAAGTAAAGATTTATGTTCCCTAACAGGCATCGTCAACATTCCTCGGGCTTTGGTAACTCCAACAATTCGGAATCGGCTGAATTCCAATCTATCATCGAACGAATGGCCATTATGGGACCCAATTCCCAGCTAAACAAGGGCGCAGATGAAAATCTTCTACTGTGAGTACATACTTAATTGGGATATAAAAGACTAACTATGCAGATCTTATTATCATATATTATTATCATATTTTAGAGCTGACTACGTCACCTGGAATGGACCCAATACCAAGCTGCTCCAAAAGCAACCCACTCAAGGACCCGATACAAATCTCTTGGCAGAACGTGGCTACAAACCGAGGGGCGGGAATTCTGAACTCTGCAAAGGTGCCCAATCTGGATTGGCCAAGGGCAGCATTTACGCTCAAGGCAGCAACAAGAGCGCCAACATCAAATGCAACTAGGCGGTAATCGAATCTCCCCCAGAGTGCCAAAGAAAGGGAGATGAATCTTAGTAACTAGCCAAGCACCACCCTCCAAAAGTTCAGACTTACATGCCATTTATATGTGTCGTAAAAAGTGTTTTTTGCTCTTCCCCCAAATCCCTCCCAAACACTCCACGAGTACGTAGATCTCAACACCCCAGAAAGAACTCACATTCCATCCAAGCTCCAATTATTTTTAGTAACTCGTAAATAAACAGACTTTAAAACTAACAAATGTACTTAATTATAATGCGTGTCTGGAGAGAGGGGACTATGGTACAAAACAGCATGAGTGGGCGGATCTAGACCTCGTCCTCGTTGAGGAGCATGTTGGGTATGCCGTCGGTGATGGGGAACACCCGTCCTGTTTCCGGGCACTCCAGCTGACCCTCGAGGACATCGATCTCGAAGAGCAGGTGGTGGAGCTTCTGCAGGAGCAGCTCATTCTCCCCAATATTCTCCGGCTGCACGGCGGGAATGTCCTCTGTGAGTTCCGCCTGAAAGGTAGGATTTTGGGAAGTAATTATAAGGTGTTTTTTGAAAGATGTTATTTTAGAACAATTGCGAAATATTGTATATTTTTTGAGAGTACTGAGAACTTTAAAACTATTTAATAATAAGGTTTAGTTCCTTAAAATTACATATTTTCCAATTTAATAAGGTTGATAGGAAACAAAAAATACACGTTTTTAATACATTTTTAAAAATTTATTTTAAAATCTCGTACCAATAATTCCTAGATTTCTTGAAAATTATTAATTGTATTAAAATGTGTCTTTCAAGGTCTCCTTGTTTTTAGAAAATATTGACAGCTTTTTAAAAAATATTACAGTATTCACTACCTATAGTAACCTTGAATACATAGAACCTTCAACACTCACCACCTGTGCAGCTCCGTAGACCGCTGACCAGTCCAATTTGGGAAGAATTCTCTCCACAAAGGTGGGATTGAACTCGCTCTCCACCACTTCCTTTTTGACTATCTGTATTGAAAAAATTATTTTCCATGAAACAATCAATAGCTAAAATTCCAGACTCCAGAACTTACCGTTAGTTTTAGGGGGAATCCCACCTTTACACCTTTAATCGCCATGGAGGTGAGGAAATTGTAGGTGCTGAGCTTCATTTTATGGCTTTTAAATACTGTATTTATACCACAAATTCGAGTAAATTAGAATGTTTTTAAAATTATATGCGGTGCACGTTGTATTCCTTCTTCTTCTTTCTAATTTTGACATTCACCAGTACCGCAACTATCGATAGGTCCATAGGCACCTATCGATGTGCTCAGGTAGTTGGCAACGCGAGCCGATGGTTTAATATCTCACATCGCTAACACTTTTTGATTAGAAATTCTCACAACTGTCGCTTTTTAACAGTTTTTAGCCGTTTATAGATGTAATTTGGGTTGGAAAACCCATAAAAACAGCGACTGAGTGCGGAATAAAGGCGTGAGGAGTGAAAATGGAGGACATATTCCACTGGTGCCGCGAGGGCAACTCGATTCAAGTGCGCCTCTGGTTGGACGAAACGGAGCACGACAACAATTTGGGGTAAAACTAAAACAAGTAACTAACTAGCTAATCGGGATCTTGCTAGTTACTCAGGGAGTGCTACTAAGAAAGTAATGCCCTTGAGCAGTAAGCTCCCTTCCCAGGAATCACCATTTAGTCATCGCCCAAATACGCCCAAGATTTCGAGGGTCTTTTGAAGTCTCAGTGACGTCATGATTTATTCTTGTGTTGTGTAAACAGACGAATCAAAAATATATATGTGCATGTGTGCATATCGCAAGCATAAAACCCGCTTCCCACACAATGAATTTCTATATAGTTCGTCAGATGTTTTTCTCCCCTATATAATCTTGTATCAGAAGGAATCGTTGTCGTTTTTTAGGAAGTATATGCAATCTCGATAAGGAACATTCTTTGTTTAGCATTTACAAAATGTTAATTAAATTTTAGATATAATATCGATTTAAGATCTATTAGGTACATTTGTGTATTCTATCTTCCATTTCTATTTTCTGGAAATAGTATTGTGCTATTCAATCATAAATAAAGATAGATCATAAGATCTATTAGGAAAAGTGATAATAAAAAAAACTGATATATTTAATATACTTGTCAAGTATACTTGAAAATAGATAAGAACTTGAATTTTTCGAAATAAATCATAGAAATAATAGATGAGGTCTATATGATCTATTGGGACAAGAAATTAATATTAAAACTGATATATTTAATGTTAGATTAAAGTTTATTATCAAATATTGATGAGAATAGATAAGCAATTTAAAGAACTTAATATTTCGATATCTAATAAAACATTTCCCTCTTTTTCAGAGACGACCATGGCTTTAGTCCGTTGCACTGGGTCGCCAAGGAGGGCCATGCCAAGCTGGTGGAGACTTTGCTGCAGCGTGGAGCGCGTGTAAATGCCACCAATATGGGCGACGACATCCCACTCCATTTGGCGGCAGCCCATGGCCATCGCGATGTGGTCCAGATGGTGAGATAACCCGCAAAGCAACCAGCTATCTTATAACTCATATCTCCCATTTTACAGTTAATAAAAGAGCGCAGCGATGTGAATGCGGTGAACGAGCATGGAAACACACCGCTGCACTACGCCTGCTTCTGGGGCTACGACATGATCTGCGAGGATCTGCTGAATGCCGGGGCCCAGGTGGGCATAGCCAACAAGGACGGGCACACGCCGATCGAAAAGGCCAAGCCCAGTCTGGCCAAGAGGCTGCAGGATCTGGTGGAGAAGAGCGGCCGGGAGGTGAAGGTGATCAGCTTCAAGGAGCAGAGCTGGCAGGGCATGAAGACGAGGTCCAGGGACGCTACTTTGTCCCGGTTCAAGGGCATCAGTATGGGCGATTTGGACCTGCACACCAAGCTCTCGGTGACGTCGTCGGGGGAGACATGGCGAGGTCGCTGGCAGAAGAACGATGTGGTGGCCAAGATCCTGGCCGTGCGCCAGTGCACGCCTCGCATATCGCGGGACTTTAACGAGGAATTTCCCAAGCTGCGCATCTTCTCGCATCCCAACATTTTGCCCATCATAGGGGCTTGCAATTCGCCGCCTAACCTGGTGACCATTAGTCAGGTGAGTTGGATTAAATACCACCTGTGATTTATTACTAATCCTTACTTTACAGTTCATGCCACGTTCATCTCTGTTCAACTTGCTGCACGGAGCCGCCGGTGTGGTGGTGGACACCAGCCAGGCGGTCAGCTTTGCCTTGGATGTGGCTCGCGGAATGGCCTTCCTGCACTCGCTGGAGCGCATCATTCCCACCTATCACCTGAACAGCCATCATGTGATGATCGACGAGGACCTGACGGCCAGGATCAACATGGGCGACGCCAAGTTCTCGTTCCAGGAGAAGGGACGCATCTACCAGCCGGCTTGGATGTCGCCGGAGGCACTGCAGCGCAAGCAGGCGGATCGGAACTGGGAGGCCTGCGACATGTGGAGCTTTGCCGTACTCATTTGGGAGCTGACGACGCGCGAGGTGCCCTTCGCCGAGTGGTCGCCCATGGAGTGCGGCATGAAGATTGCGCTGGAGGGATTGCGGGTCAAGATTCCGCCGGGCACCTCGTCGCACATGGCGAAGCTAATCGGAATCTGTATGAACGAGGATCCCGGCAAGCGGCCCAAGTTCGATATGGTGGTGCCCATTCTGGAGAAGATGCGGCGCTGAACGAAAGGAAGGAGCAAAGTCATCAGATGCCAAGCCAAAATGTGCCTTGAGAAACCTTCGTTTTGCCAACTAATTGTAATTACCCCTTTGTGTTATCTTTGTCTAACTGAGCCTAACCGAAAAAACGGCGAAGCAAGTGCAACTGCTCTGTCTAGAATTTATGTTTCTGTGTCTCACTGTCTCCCCTACTTATGATTTTCCGTCTATGTTTAGTGCGGGTGCTCGATTTTGTCGTACATTTTAAGTTCGATAACCCTTAGAATCGTATTTATACAGAAATATATTTGTTACTAATTAATTAAATGGATTGCGTACCTGAGTGGAGGCGGTACAACTTATGGGGCCGCAAATGAGAGCTTTATCCGAGCAGCAGAACAAGAGGAGAGCTTTCCGCCGAAGTGGGTGGCGATGCAGGAGCGCAGCGGGTTGGGAAATGTGAGCAAGGCGGCCCTGACCTGGTTTCCATTTCATGCACGCGATTTTGTGCAGCCCGCGTGGGCAGAGCAAACTCGGCGGTTGAGGAAGAGAGCGCGCCGGCGTGAGAAATTCGCAGCGAGAGCAGAAAAAAGTTATTGCATTTGTTTAAAGATAAGTTTTATTTATCATACTGAATGTTTACTTTTATAGATTCTAAAGAACATTAATTTTTATAGATTTTGTATTTATTTTTACACTTTTACAAGTTGTAATTGCTGTTATTTATTTTAGTTTTTTTTTATTAATTTTTTTAAAAAATCAACTTTTTTCATTGCAAACTTAAATAACTTAAATAACAATTGGATTATATAAATTTGAAATCATTTTAATTTAAAATTTTGTTTTTTAAACATTTGTTTATATATTTGTATTTTGTTGTAGTAGTTTTATCTGTCTTTTCTTGTCTTTTCTATTTGTTTGCGAGTAATTGTTAGCAAGAAAAGAAAACAGAATTTTTAAAAAATGCTTAAGGTATTTAGATTAGGATATATTTTATAAAATTGATTTAAGGATTCAAAGGAGGTATCTCTGACTTTCTCGGCTTTCTCTCTTTTGGCCCGGCTCTCACCGGCTGGCGGCTCTCTGTTTATGTTTTTGCGGCAACGCTTTATTCGGGCCAGAATGTTGTTGCTGCGGCAAGCTTGCAACGGGCCATGTGATTGTTTGCTGGCTCGCTCTTGCCTCACATCCTGTGGCAGGTCGTTTTATTTTTTTTGCTGCTGTTGCTGTTGCTGCTGCAGCTTTAAGAACTTTTTTGCTGCATTTTGTTGTCGCCGTCGTCCTGTCGCTGTCGTAGTCGTCGGCGCTTTTCGGGCCCAGAGGCTGGTCGCTCGGTCTCCGCACGGGCTAAAACGAAAAACGGAAAACTGCAGTGGCCAAAAGCCGATTTACAGTATTCCACGCCAGTTATGACGGCAGCCAGCCAAACGGCAAGAGCATTTCCGCAAGGGATTCCCTTCTACAAAAACTAAAAAAAACCCAATAAATTCGGTAGAGTGCAGTGCAACGCGGAATAAATTCAAATTAAAGGAAAACTCGAAGCTTTAAATTTAAAACGCACACACACACACACGCAAACGTTATGCAGTGAAAGTGAAAAATTTAGTGGCATCTTTTAGGCGCAGCGCATAAAGGCGAAAAACTCTCAATACTTTCACATTGAATCACTTGCAGCTGCTTAAATGTATTTTAGTGACAGCTCGGAAAAACAGCCAGCCCCTTGGAGGGCCGGCAATCCATGGAGTATTCAAACACCACGGGTTTGAATCACATCGCCGAGGAGGAGGAGGAGCAGGAGCATCCAGAGCAGAGAACCAAAACCAGGTTGGTACTGGCTTTTTGTAAATAGTGCGCACACATGCCCCATTTAATGACCACACCTGAGCTTATGGGCTTTTTTTGTTCCCATCTCTTATTTCAATTAACCATACAATTGCCCGGGATGCAAAAAAAAAAGGGAAAAAACTATATGTACAGAGGAGGAGAATGGGAACTTTTCAGCCACAGTTTGCCGCAGTTACTCCATCATTCATTTGGCTGACGAGTGAGCCACTAACCTACTTCCTTCACACACAAAAGCAGCATCTGCTGTGCTGCAGCGATGGTTATTGTTGCTGCTGCTGCCGGCATGCCACGCCCACACAATGGGAATGGGCGGTGGGAGGCCGCGGGGCAAGCCAGGGATCTCATGGAGATGACGTTGGCGTTGATGAGTAAAAATGTGAAAATTACATGGCAGGCAGATGGAAATAAACGGCGACAGTGCATAGCAAATGATGAGATTTACTCCGCAGCAGGCGGCCGCCTTTGTCCTTTAAAGCGATCGATTCAGCGGCTGAATAAATCAAAAGTTCCATTCTGCAGATTTCGTATTTTAGCACATAGAGCTATAGAAAAATATAGAATATATGTAGGCTGCTTGCCAAACTAAAATGCCACATGGTCAAATATTTCACTTGTGCTTTCGAGCGGCGCATTGAAAAGCGAAAATATTGTGACAATATAAGTAAGCAGCAGGAGCATCAGACCCAAGTGTCTTGCACTTGTGTGAAGAGCATAACAACGTGGAAATATTGTAAAGGCAAACTACACACACAGACTAGAGGGAAATGGCAACTAAATGCAATGACAGGCAACAGCATCAGCAGCCACAAAGTGGAAGAGGCAGGAAAAAAATCCTAAAAGGACATGTGGAAATGCGAAAAGCAACCGCAGGATGTGAGAAAGACGGCAGGACGACAGGGCACATGCAAAGCATCTATTGATTTTTATCCCCCTTCGGCTTGGGCTTAAGCCACAGGGCGTATGAGTAATGCAGATTGCGTATACTTGATTTATGCGGCCAGCTTGAGTTGTTGCCATCACATTCAGCTGCAAGTGCAATAAATCTCGAGGAGCGCAGCAACTTTAAGAAGCACTAAGGCAAACAAAGTCCTCTTAAATTTCAAAAACCAGGGAACGAAAATAACTGTTATTGTAAATTTTTCATACAAAAAAATCACGCACTTAGAATGGTCCTAAAAATTTTTTAAATTCACCACAATTTTTATTAGCCATTGTAGTTTACAAATCCGTAATGATTTTTATTTTTTGATTTTTATAATAAAACTCAAAAAATAACTGTTATTTTTTGATTTTTATGAATAACAGTTATTCCCTTGACATTTTTGAAAAAATGAAATAATTAAAAAAAACATGATACCCGTGCTTTTTATAACTTACTAAAAATTTGTTAAAAAAGGCAACCGCGCATATTTTATACCTATATTTTTTTTAAATTTTGTTTTCCCACAAAATCGCCATAAATCAAGTTTGAGTTTTATTTTGATCACGACGAATAACTGTTATTTGTCAACTTTTATTATAAAACTCAAAAAATAACAGTTATTCTTTGAGTTTTACTTTACAAATCAGAAAATAACTGTTAAAGTGTGATTTTTAAAATAAAACTTATAACCGTTACGTTCCCTGTCAAAAACACAAAACAAACCCAACAATCGATCAATGTGGAGGAAAAGTGGACGCTAGTTCTCAAGTCCACCCACCCACAAAACAACGCTGATGTTCAATAAATTCTGTGTGCCGGGCCTGGAACTAGGGAAAATGGCCAATTACGAGGCAAAACGAGTTAAGAATTGTGTCAGGAGAGAGAGATGGCCGATACAGAAGTTCCCCCTCCTTCCTTTATATACATCTCTTGGAATAAATGGCCATAGCCGCCTGCACTTAACATGAATGGCCATTTTTCCAATCAATTACGTACAATAGATAGGGGGTGGTGCTAAAGTGTTGGTCGAAGGGGGTCGAATGGCACCGGAAAATATAGAAAAGAGTTGAAAACGTGCAAGGCAAATAAACAAGGGATGGGATTCAAGTGCGGACCAACGACTCGAGCTAACGATAATTATTTGAATTTTTAAGCAACATTGCGGCCTTTCTTTCGCCGCAATTACCGTTGGCATTGACATTGTGGAAACTTAAGCGGGAAAATATTTCACCACCCCCTGGGTAATTGGAAAAACTTTTCTGCGGAGAAATTAGTTCGATTGCATTGTCAATTTTAAATTTTCTGAATTCTTCATTGTTTTGCTCTTTCTTTTAGGTTCAAGCCTGAAACTTGATATTTTTCGTGTTTTTGCAAAAAATAAACTGATGTAACCCCTAAAAAAATATACAATAATTTGTAAAAAAAATAAAATTTTGGGAAAATAATTAGTTAATGTTGTTAGGTGATTAAAACAGTCAGTTAGTGACTTTCATTATTGTATTTATATTTAGGCATATTTTTTAAAAATTAGTTAACACAGTAATGTGTATCTGATAGTCGACTATATGATTTATACCAATATTTTTATTATTTTATTATTTGCAGACTGTCTGTGATTGGGAACTGCTACGTCAAGATTGAATCGCCGACCGGATCGCAGCCGATAGCTTTGGGCAGCCAGCGTTGCCTCAGTACGCCCCCGACCACGCCCAGCAGTCCGCTGAGGGAAGCGCCCCAAAGTCCGTCGGACGGTCACGCCTCCTCGCTGAGCTCGCACTCAGGATCGGGATGCAGTGACATCCTGTTGGGTGAGTGAATATAAGTCCGAATCGTTATTTATAGCTGCCCACGAAACGGATCATGACCTAGGGAGTGAAAAAGAAACGCCGGCGAATGGCAACATTTTATTGAGGTTGCTGACATGCGTCGTCTCTAGTTCTCCCTATCGATACGATACTTCCCTGCTGCTCCTCCCACTCTGCGCCACTTTTGGCTTAGTTTACTCTACATGCCATCGGCACCCAGTGAAAAGTGTTGGCCAAATTTACCAGCCCGTCCTGCCACAATCTGTGCCACATTGCTGCCCTTCACTGGGGAAAACTATTTGTTTTTGTATCAATAGTTCCTTCGATTAAAAAAATGTTTTCTTTTTAAAATCAACAAATGAATTTAAAGGCCTCTAAATTCTGAAGTTTTTTTTCAATATTTTTATTCTGGTGTTTTATGTCAAAAGACAATCATTAAACTTTAACTAAAATAAATTCAAACAAAATTTAAAATTTATTTAATCGGCTTTTTATCTTAGGGTGGGAGTTAAGATTAATTTAAAATGTCCTGAAAATTGAAAGCTCACCCGATATTGTTTACCGATTTTTTCCTCAGTGTATAGGTTATTTTTCCTGCCTTAACGTTTGCATGGGCATCGCTTCTCTGCATTTTACAGTCTGTATTTTCTGGCATTCTGACACTGGCACGGCGTTCTGGGGAATGGAAATATAATAGTTGTGAGCCTGAGTTGCGAATTTCAGTTGTTTGCTGTTCCGCTTAAATTCGGCCATTGTTTGATCTTCGGCTCTGCGCAACTTTTCCTTCCATTCGCCTGCCCATCGGGTGATAATTTCTAACGCTCACTGAGGCAAAGTTTGTTTACCAGTCGAGTGCTATCAAAATCAGTCAGGCCTCAACAACAATAGCAACAAATGGTGGCGAAAGAAAAATGCGCAAAGTAAACAAGATTCAGCACTCAAGCGGCTAAAATCTAGAACCTGCACTGAGCCACTTTATTTGCATTAATTTTTAAAAATTAAATCAAAAAGTGTTCTCTTTATTAAAATTTCAGAAAATGTATAATAGTTCTATTGATATGATTTCTAATAAATTTAAAACCGAAATATCTAATTTAATTTACTATATCTTTAATTGAGGTTCTTAGAAAAGGGTTGAATGTAAAAAAAAATAATAATATGTATTTTATTTATTATCTAAATAAAAGTTCGAATTTAGTAGGATGTTTGATCTTGTATTCCTGATTTTTTTTTGATCATTTTTGTTCTGTGTAGAATCTAGAAACTGACGGCAGTGGCATAATAATAAGCAAATAAATAAAACTAAACGCATTTTGCGCCACTTTGTTGCTGCCCGCGCCTAGTTGTTGGCACTGTTGTATTTGTTGTTGTTGCCTCAGATGTTGCCCATGACGTTGCCCACAAGTCATTGAACTTATAGCGGCAACGTAGAGCCAACAATAGCAAAATAAATAAAACGCGAAAACGCGAAGAAGCCAAGGCAACCGCCCGTCCTCCCCCTTCGACCGCCCCCTTTTGGATGATAAGTGAAATGCAGTAATAATAAGAATAGTGCCCCCCCTTTTTCGCCCGCCCATCTTTAAACAACTCTCACTCACACACACACACACTCACTCAATTCGATTACACAATCTTCGCGAGGCGGCATTTTCATTTTTCTCTTCCTGGTTCGTCGTCATCGCGTGTCTCTGTATGGGTGAGCGTCTCTGAAGGAGTGTGCGCCTCGTATCTGTGTGCCAGTGGAGATCAGGTTTTATCGCCCGACGCAATCGGACATATAGTATGGGTATAGTATGGTATAGCCTGGGTGGATCGGTGGATCGGTGGGGGCGGCGGAGTTATCGCTTCGATTGGTCGTCGTACTTCGGCTTTTCGCTTTCGTGGAGGATCGTGGATATATAGCTCCGCCGATCGCCCAGTTGCCGTTTTCTTGTTATTTACAGTTTCTGGTTGCTTTCGCTGCCCGTTGGAAAAATAGCAAACTAGCATGCAGTTGACGTCGCCGCTGCCGCTGATCATTGACTTTCGTTGGTTCCCTTTTGGGCCAGGCATTCGTCAGGGAAATTGTGCAATGCGTTGGGGAAAATGCGGAAAATTACCATATAGGTATAACCAAAAATAGGGATTTTGGGTGATTTCGGAAATATAAGATCTATATATTTATAGCTTACTTCTAAAAGGGTTTAAGACATGTTAATTTGACTAGTTTTAAAAATACCTTACCTAAAGATTTTTGTAGTTCGCTTTTCCTTAAAAATTATATTTTTAAATCTAAAGTACTTTCGATAATAAAAACATGAAACTAATTAACAAAAAAGTTTACATCACAGATTTTCCTAAACGCTTACGTAATTTTAATTATTTTTTGACGTAGTTTTAATATAACATTGTTTTTAGCTGAAAGACCATAAAAATTACAGCAGCAACATGACAAATTTCTGACTTACAATATACATATTTCTATTGATCTTCAAAAATAGTTTTTGGAAAGTATACTTGTGCCAAATACTAAAGTTTACCACTTTCTTTTGGGCCAAAAAAGACGCGAAAAGCGCAGCAGCAACATGCAACATTTAAACTTCCGCATTGCAGAATTTTCTGTCCCACTCGGAGAGCCAACGGCCGCTATCCCTTTCTCTTTCTCGCCCGCTCAGCTGAGGGTTCTTTGACCCCCCTTTAAGGCGCCCCCACTTCTGCTCTCTCTCTCTCGCTCCCACTCACACATACACACAATAAACCTCCTATATTCTATTGCCTTCTCCCTCGAGGATAGTACAAACTAAATAACGGTTCGCTCCTCTCCCCATCTTTCTCTCTCGCTCGCTTCACAAGTGTGTGTGAAATTGATCTTGAGTGGAGTGTTGTTGCACTTGGAATTGTTCGAAGTCGACGCCGGCAGCGACGTCGGCAGAGGCAGCAGCAGCGCCAATAGAAATTGAAAATAGAAACCAGGAAAAGAGTTTGCAAATGGAAAAGTGCAGCAACAACACGAACGCAGCGAGAGTGGAAATGCATGTTGCTGTTGTTGCTTCTAATGCTGTTGTTCCAGCTGCTGCTGTTGCTGTTGCAGCTAGTGTTGCTGCGGGAGCAGTTTCTAATGTTGTTGCTGTTGTTTCCCTACACCAAGAAAAAAAAACGGTCTCAACGTTCTTGATTGCAGTATTTCCGTGCTCAAAAGTGAGCCAAGAACGGTTTTACTAAGATTTGAGACTACTTTTTTGAAAATAAGTATTCTCGATTTCAGTAAAGTCATCTTGGTTTCAAGAAGAAAAATTCTTGGATTAAAGCATGGGCGTTCTCGGTTCCAAGAATAGCCGTTCATGGTTCCAAGTGTAGTTCTCGGTTTTAATAATGTCTCTCTAACCAAGAAGATTGATTGATTTCAAGAAGAAAAATTCTTAGATTTAAGCATAAGCTTCTTGATTTCAACAATAGGCGTTCCCGTTTTCAAGATTAGACACTCTTGACTTTAGTAATATATCCTCTACCGAGACGAAACTTTCCTCGATTTCAAGAACGATTCTTCTTGATTTCATTATTAAGTGTGCTTGATTTCAGAAAAATTAAAAATTTTTATATTTACTTTTTTTTATATTTTATTAATTTTTTATTTATTTTTAAAGATATATCATTTTTTTCATCTCTGAGAGAAGTTGAGAACGATTTCAAGAATGCTTGAATGCAAGATACTGAAATCAAGAAGATTCGTTCTCAAGTTTTCTCAGTGTAGTTGTTGCTGCTGTTACTTCCCTGGTTGTTGCTGTTGTCGCTGCTGATGTTGCTGCTGCTATCGATGTGACTGTTGTTCTTGTGGTTCTTGCTGTTGCCGAGTGTGTTGCTGCTGTTATTTTCCCGATTGTTGCTGTTGCAGCTCGTGTTGCTGGTGGAGATTAGAAAGATAGGAGCTCCAGTGCTCGCAGCACATTGACTCTCTCTCTCCGCTTTCCCGCTTTTCCCGCCACGATCTCCTCTCCTCCAGAGACTCCCATTCCCATTCCAATTCCGCCTCGTGCTGCGGCGGCGGCGCTTCGCAGTTTTCCCACTCCATTGGGCCACACAGCCGCATTGCATTCTATTTTCCTGCTCTTTCCACACTCACACACTCGCACACTCGCTCACAGGGACACGTTCTTGTTCTTCTGCGTCGCTGCCGTCGTCGTCTTGGACTTTTGTGTGTTGTCGTAGGTTCTGCGGTTCTGCAGTTCTGCAGTTTGGCTTGGATTTTCCCTGGCGCATTTGGAGCGCTGCGAAGTTGGCGCTTGGATCTCGACGAGGCGAGAGTTTCGTACGCGCGATCACCATTTCTCCCGAAAAAATATCGAGTCGCGAGTGCCGCCCCAAAACGAACGAACTAATATCATATCATATTTGGAATACGCTTGAACTTGGAAACGAAGGACTGCGAAAACAACACGGAAGTGAATTGAAAATTTATGCAATATAAGCTATTATGAATGCTAAGTGCAAGTGACAAATAAAAATGCGGGGGGGGATTAGAGAAGAGAAAAGCACGATGATAGTGATAATTTAATTGAGCCATTTATGAGAAATGGTGCACACAAATTAGGGAGGGCAATTTGTCAATATATAATTATGTGGTCATGCATTATAAAGATATGAAGTTATAAATGGGGTACACTCAGAAAATGAATCGCCCTGAATTTTAGAAAATCGCCTATGGATTTGCTTCACTGGCGATTTTTTTCTTTAAAATAAAAAAATTTTCTATTGGTAAAGAAAATTTTCTTCCAATTAATCAAAATTCATTAAATTCAAGAAATATTCCAGAAATATAGAAAAAAATCGCCAGTAAAGCAAATCCATAGGCGATTTTCTAAAATTTTTTTTTGAGTGTAGCTTTTTAAGATTTTTACTTAGCGAGTTTTTTTTTTAATTTTTTAAGCATAAGTTTAAAATAATTAATTTCTTTTGAGACTATCTTTAAAGTTAATAAAACTTTTAAAATTTTTCTTTTAATAAAACTTTTGCAATTTTTTTTGTACATTTAAAGTTTTAATAGAATTTTTCATCGAGAACATTTTGGATAGAAATATAGTAAACCAAATATCATGAATATGAGCCTAAAAGCTGAAGCCTAAGTTCTCTTTTTCATTAAACCGCAGCTAATAAAAAGTTGAGTATACAAATATCCCAAAGACTTTGAAACCTATTCAAAAAACCCCTCTCCGAATTCCCCTATAAAGTGCCAAACGGTATTGAATCGCAAGGATTTCCCTCAAAAATGCTGAGCGGGCGCCATCGCGGGTTGCCAACATCGATATCGATTTCCGCCAGCAGGACGATGATGAGGATGATGGATGGCCATCTAACCGATCCGATCCGAGCAACATGGATGTATACCAAATAGAGCTGGAGGCACAGGCACAAATCCGCTCCAATCTTCTGGTCGAAACCTGTGTGAAGCACTCGGCGGAGCAGCAGCAGCAGCTCCAGGTGAAGCAGGAGGATCTTCTAATCAAGGATTTTGCTGGGGACGGGGAGAAGCTAAGCGAGGAAGAGGAGGAGGAAGAGGAGGAGGACGAGGAGGAAGGCGAGGAAGAAGACGAGGAAGAAGACGAAGACGAAGAAGAGGACGAGGAAGCCCTGCTGCCGGCAGTCAATTTTAATGCAAATTCAGACTTTAATTTGCATTTCTTTGACACACCGGAGGACTCGTCCACCCAAGGGGCCTACAGTGAGGCCAATAGCTTGGACTCGGAGCAGGAAGAGGAGGAGCCTCCGCAGCAGCAGCAGCAGCTACATCACCGGGAATTGCAGGATTGCCTAAGTGCCATCGAGGCCGATCCCTTGCAGTTGCTGCAGTGCGACGATTTCTACAGAGCAGCAGCAGCGCCAGTCGAGAGTGTTGCAACCAGCAACCTTGCCCCCCAGCAGCAACTCGGCCACCAGCAGCAGCAACATCCTGGACAGCAGCAACACCAGCTCAACTGCACGCTGAGCAATGGTGGAGGTGCTCTGTACACCATCAGCAGTGTGCATCAGTTTGGTCCGGCCAGCAACAACAGCAACCACAACAACAACAGCAGCAGCAGCCCCTCCTCCAGCGGCGCCCACGCATCACCGGACAGCGGCTGCTCCTCCGGATCCTGTGGCTCGGGTTCGGGTTCCTCCTCCCACGCGGTCTCCTCCTCGTCGTCGTCCAGCTGCTCGGAGCACATACATCATACATCCTCGTCAGCAGCGGTCAACAGCAGCAGCAGCAACAACAACCACAACAACCCAGCAGCAACATCTTCATCTGCTGCGCATCTAAACAAAGGTACGTGGTACGTGCAACTTGCAACTGACACAGCGACTCTTCCGCGTTGTCGTCGTCTCTTCTGCGAAGCATTGTTGTCGCTGTTGGAAATTATGTTCAATAAATTTGCATTCATTGCATAACAGCAACAGCGGCAGCAGCAGCAATTGAAAGTCGTGGGGGCTTCGGTTTCTTCTCCTTTTGAGGAAACTATTGAAGCGCAGCATGAAAAATGTGAAAATGAATATAAGTCCCTGTTATTGGCCAATGCACTATGGGGAAAAAATCCGTTTTTTGCCATAAACTCTAGTTTTTAAAATAGGGCCTTGAAAATTATAATTATAAATTATGAAAATTATATGGTCAACCCCCTGAAAACGTCCAAAATTTTTTTTATTAATAGAAAAATTATTAATTAAGAAAACAAATATAAGATAGGATAAGGATTATCCTCCACCTTATCCCTCTGAAGAAAAAGCCAAAAAGTAAAAAAATTCGTGGTGTTTTTTTTTAAGGGGCAAAAACATCCAAAAGGCAATAATAACACTTGTTTCTTTATCATTTTGTTAATACATTTCTATAACAACCTTGCTTCGATCTGCGTAGATTTTTAACAAAACCTTAACAGAACACAAACACTTTTGTTAGTTTTCGGCTAAAATAGACATACACAAGACATTAAATAACTGGGCAATGCAAACAGTTACAACACAATTTGTTTTGAGAAGTATTTAAGCATACCTTCAGGTAAATTTTCCATATTTTTGTGTATTTTTTAGTCCTCTAAACACATTGCACGTCTTTGGGAAACTTTGGAGTAAAATTAGCGCGTTTTTCCATTGATATGAGCACGTTAATCGATAGACTTTGATCGGCTACAACAAATTATCGGTACGACGCGTAAAATTTTTAAAAAATAAGTTTAATTATTTTAGTATTGAAAAAAAAATTTGTTTTTTAAATTAGTAACTTTTATTTTTTACGTTTATGCCAAAAAAACTGACTTTTTACCCATAGTGCATTGGCTGTTGCGCTGTTTCTCTGCCTCTTCGAGGAAATTGCTTTTCATGTTACCAGTGGAGTGCAGGTCTGTCAATGTGGTTCGCTATTACTATTGCATTGGGTGCAATTGAAAGCCATGGAAAAAATGTTTTCATTTTCATAAATCGCCTTGAATTGGTCTCGGCTCTTGGATTTCCTTGGTTATGGCATTTGAATGGGCTAAGTGGGGAGTTCTTGGTGGTGGCTTCAACGGAGTAGCCACTAAGAACTGAGCCGGAAAATGCAACAAAAATTGAGTTTAATAACTATTACGGTCAGCAGCTGCTTTCTACACAGAAACTAACATTTTTGTTATTTAAAGGGATTAAAAATATATGTCGATTTTACAAATATTTATATATTTCTTTTTTAATAAACAAATATTAAAAATGTCAATTGAATGATTAAAGAGTAAATCTTGCTTTTACAAATATTAAGCTATTTGTTTTTAAATTAGCAAATACATTTATTATTTGAAGGAATTGAAAATAAGGTTGTTTTTTAAATTTTGACATAATTTGTAAAATAATGTTATATAAAAGGGACCACAAAAATATGTAATTAAACGAAAAAATGGGTATAAAATTCTTAAAGTTATCTATATTTATACCCCTTACTCGTTTATATTAAAATTTCACATACCTACTATTCCTAATTCAATTTAATATCAAGTTCTTGTCGTTTTACTTTTACTTTACTTTAATAAGAATAAAACTGTAAAACATTTTTTCCGTGTATAAATCCTACATTTTCTGTGCTCACTTCTTCGACCGTAAAAACCATAAGCACTTGGGCAAATTTGTCTTGGCCGGACTTACTAATTGCCTGGATTTGCTGGCAAGGATTTCATTTTGCGGCCCGTAACGGCAACATTTAATTGCGGCAATTAGAGCGGGCAGTTGCAGGCGAATGCAAACTGTAGGCAAATTAAATCAGGGAAACGAAGAATGAAGGGGAAAATCAAATAGGAATTCGTCAAGGAGAAGTCCAAAACTCGACTGCTTTTCTTCAGCACTTCAATTGATATTTTTTCTGCGGCCAGTAATGTCTGCTCGTTCGCTCGTTGCCTTCAATCAGTTGTCTTCGCCCAGATAAATGCAAGAAATGGAAAAATGGAAATGGAAAAAATCGAGGAAAATATGAAGTCTTTGTCGTCTATCGTCCATGCCTCTGACTTGTCTGACAACGCGGAAATGCCAAGCAGTTTTCCACTCGGCCCGCACCCCTTTTTCTTCGGCTGGGTAAACAATGGCGTTTCAAATTGTCAACTTACAAAAGCCACCAAATGATTTGCATTTGAACGCGGCGCGAAAATGAAAAGCAGGCACTTGAGTTTCCTTTGGGTTTTTCTTTTCTTTTCCTTTCCATTCCTGCCCGGGCCGACGACATTTTCCAGACGGCGTTGTTGCTGTTGCCGGTGAAAATTTAATTTGCAATTGCACAAGCGCGTAACGCGCCAGGCACTGAAAAAAGTGTGGATCATTTAGGAGGGGTGTGGAATAAATACATATTTTATTTGGAATTTTTTAGACCATTTAATATTTTTAATATGAATTAATCGCTGATAAAGTGAATAAATTGTCTGAAAACCTTGCTTAGTTAAAAAGAAATACATGTTTAATATAATAATAGCTTAGACAAATATTGTCAAATGTTTGTATTTTTCCTTAGTAATGAATAAAATTGCAATACAAATTACAAAACGGCTCAAATTATAAAAATTTAATATTTAAAAGAAAACCATATTATAAAATATTTTTCAACTAGATAATAAATAGTAAGGTCCCTATCTACCAACAAAAAAAAAAAACAAAGCAAAATAAAATAAAAATAAAAAAATTTTAATATATTTAAAAGACTGGAGTATCCAATTAAATAATGTCTAATACTTCAAATACTTTTAAATATTTAAAAACTTCTTTTCGTGTGTCCCAATCTTTTTTTCTTTTCTTTCGCCTGTTTGTCGGCGCGTGCAAGTTGCACATTAATTTCATTTTGTTTCGCATTTTTTAGGTGTGGCAACGCCAATTGGCACAGCAGCAACTAGCAACACCAACAACTAGCAACCAACAACAACAACGGCAGTTCAAACTCCGCGCTTAGTTCATTTGCCTCTTCCTCTTGCATTAGAAAAGCGAAAAATAAAAGCATGAAATGCAGTCAAATTGAATTCGAAATGAAATGCCAAGAAGCAAACATTGCTAGCTGTCTGGCTCCAGTTTTTCTTTGCCTGCTTTTCTGTTTTTTCTTTTCTTTTATTTGTAATTTGCAATGCAAATTTTTTTCGGCTTTCGCACAGTGAAAATTGTGCGGCTGCAGTTTTTCCTCGTGACTGCCGTTTTTACAGGCAATTTATTGTAGGCGGTGGCGTATACGTGATTTTTTGGCATTTCTCCTTATCGCACATCGCCTGCGGTGAGTTGAATGCACTCCTCAGTGGGCAATGCATTGCATTTGACTTTGATTGCCAGCCGGCTTAAGGATGATTAAGATTAGGAGACTAAAGGCTGCCGGAAAAATTGAATTTAGCCATTAGGTGGGTAAATGTGACAGTCAGTGCTGCCATCATCCAAAAAGAAACAGGGAAAAAAAGGACAAAAAATTTTAAAAAAGGACCAATTTAAATATATTTTATATTAAATTCAATTATGTAAACAACCTTCTTCGTTTGATCATTTGCCATGGTACATTTTTGTGGGTATACGTAATAATCTAAAATTATTAAAATAATAAAATCATTTTAACTAACAACATTGGTAATACAAAAAAATGCTTCTTTTTGCTACAGAAAAAATACAGAAAATCATCGACTGCTTTACGTCTCTTTGATGATTTAAACAAAGTTTAATTATTAAAGTGCCGAACTGTAAGAATGATGGTTAAAAAGGCGTTTTAGCATATAAAAACAGGTTTATACCCTTTCGACTAGCAAAAATAACACTCAAAACCTTATTATTGAAAAACGGACAGATTTCCGGAGAGGGGATATTTGAAATTTTTTCCGGATAAAGAAAGGAAAAAGGACAAAATGGCAGCACTGGTGACAGTTGTCGATGGATTGTGGCTGCCCCCGTGTTGCAAGTGTGACATTTGTGGAGATGGCGAGTGGGAGATATGGCCAACTCATTTGCCAAATTGCACACACGGCGTATGAGCAATGTGCCATTGCATAAGCGACCAGCTGGACAACTTTCCAGCGGAGGAAATGTGTTTAACCAATGCATTTTTCTCTTGCAGAGCAACAGCAGCAGCAGCAGCAACAGCAGCAGTCACAGCTGCAGCAGCAACACCAACCGCAGTTGCAACACCCGCAGCAGCAATCTTTTGGCCTAGCGGACAGCAGCAACAACAACAACGGCAGCAGTAGCAACAGCAACAGTAACGGCAGCAGCAACAACAACGGGGGAGTCTCCTCGAAGTCATTTGTGCCCTGCAAAGTCTGCGGCGACAAGGCATCGGGCTACCATTATGGTGTAACCTCCTGCGAGGGTTGCAAGGTGGGTTATCAAGGGTTAATTATATTATTGAAGAAGGTTATAAGTATTTTATAATTTATTGCTTTCCTTCTACAGGGTTTCTTTCGTCGCAGCATCCAGAAGCAAATCGAATACCGCTGTCTAAGGGACGGCAAGTGTCTGGTCATCCGGCTGAACCGAAATCGCTGCCAGTACTGCCGCTTCAAGAAATGCCTCTCCGCTGGCATGAGCCGCGATTGTAAGTACTAAAACCTAAGCTAAACTATACCTTCGGTAGCGAAAAAATATGATTGGGCTACCAGTTACCAGCCAAATGCCAACCTTTTTGGGGCCAAAGTGAAGGGGAGGCTGCACCTTTTCGGTTTTAGTTTTTGTTTTACCCCTTGATAACTTTATTAGCTGCGAATCCACTGGCAGATTTCTGCCAAAAGATCGCAGATTGTGTCAGTTGGCTGTCAGTGGAAATTGGCAACTCCAAGATAAAGTTTTAGAAGAGCAATTTATACTACACTCAAACAAGTCAGTGTTGAAAAAATTCAAAAAGTATACTAGTCTAAAGAATATAACAAATTTACCAAAAATTTCATCTAATAAAGATTTAATATAAATTTTTTATAGAGAATATTCAAACTTTTTTATTTTTGTAATTCTAAAATTGATTTCCTCAAAAAAAAAAAATGAAGTTATATTTAATACCAATAAATAAATGAAATTATTGTAGAGGCATTTAATACATTTTCTATGCAGACTTTATGGTTAATTGGTTGGCGTGCTCTTAATAACTGAATTAATTTAATTAGAATTTAGTCAGAACAATGGACGAACATTTCAAAATGTAGAATGTTATACCGCGATGAAAAAAAATCGTAATATAAATCTATTCCAAAGTGATGTGGCTCGTTAGCTTAGGTTACATAGCTTTTTTTACAAGAATTACAACGAAAAAAAATAAAAAATCCTGTTTTCTTCATTAATTTAAGAAAACTTATAAAACTTAAATAAGTATCATTAATACATGTTTTGAGATATTACCTTTCGTCGGAAAATATGCGTAATTTATAACGTTAAAATTTTTGATTCCGTAACACTAGTTTAGCCTAATCGACCGCTGTGTGTAGGCTTTATTACTACTCCCAATAATTGAATCAGCGAGCATCGGTTAACTAGTTAGCTAATGCCCCCTAAAACGTTGTAAAGCCTTTACTTAAGATAATTCACCCATTTAAAAACTCAATTCGCGGTCGGAGGCCGTTCATCCAGCCTTAAAACGGGTTTACAATCCGCCCAACCTTTTAGCTAAGCACCCATAAACAACTCCAGACTCGCCGCAGAAATGTGAAGCGGGCGGAAACCACGGCTTAAATGCAGTTGAAGTTGGGTTAGCCACAAATTTTCCCCCTTGCCGGCTTGGGAAATGCTTCCTGCAAATCCGAAATCCACCCACGGACCAAACCGACAGCGAAATTAGTTTTTATGACTGTTGTCAGCGGCAGCAACACGAGCAACATCAGCTTCAGGGATCCCTTGGCTTTCAAATGCAATTTATTCGATGTTGCGCAATTAATTGCCCAAAAAGATCGGAAACAACAGAGAGCGGCACATAAAATCAGGCAACGAGTGTGTTGCTGTTGCTGTTGTTGCTGCTGTCACTGTTGCTGTCGCTGCACGCGAGCAACATTTATTAGCCAAGTCCATTGGCTGCAACATTTGTTGCAATTTTTTATGGCATTTGTCTCGCAAAGAGTCGGGGCTCAACTGTGTTGAGCAAACATTTCCTTAATTTTCCTCGACGCCCACGCAAAGTGAGCCACGACGAGGAAATCCCCTCGAAATCCCACACGAGCGAATCGTGAGGCTGGCTTTAACCGCATTTAAGAGGTTTGCACTTCACCGATTTGCCTAAGACCGACTGGGAATGCCTTGAAATGAAGGGGTTTTCTGATCTGAAATATATTTTTTATAAATTAGAAAAATAACCACTCTATAATATTATTTATTTTAAAAAGTTAGCTAAAAACTTCTCTATTATTCTCATTATGTAAAGTATTTATTGATTTATTTTTTTTATTCACTTACTTATAAAAAGGTTCCCAAGTCATTTGCACTATTTATTACCCATCAAAGTCTATAGGATTTTCCCAGATTTAAAATCACCTTAAGCATTTCATCACGAAAGCGATTTAAGAAGTAATAAAACTTTTTTATAGGTTGGACAAGGAATGCCATAAAATAAAGGGGGGTTTTCTGATTTTAAATATATAAAATCATTAAATATATAAAATAAAGATAACAAATCTACATTCATGTTAAAGAATAATATTATATTATTCTAAAATGGGAAATTTATTTATTTATTTTAATTAAATCTACTTACTTATAAAAAGGTTCCCAAGTCATTTCCACTATTTATGGCCCATCAAAGTCCCCTAGATTTTCCCAGATTTAAAATCGTCTCGAGCTTTTCAACGCCAAAGCGATTTAAGAAGTAATAAAACACTTTTATGGCTAAGAGGTCCTTAAAGTTGCATCACCATTTATAACCCATCGTAACTGCCATATTTTATTTGCCTAGATTAATGATGTTTTCTCGCAGAGCATCGCAGTCTCGTTTTGAGGGCTAAAAACTTTTCCATTTCCCATATTTTTCACCCCGTCCCTGTTGGCTTTTACTTTGCGACTTTTCCTCTGCCCCAATGCATATGGAAAGTTCAATAATTTACTTAAATTGCTTTTGAGCCAAGTTTGGTTCGGGCATGAATGGGATGTTGCTGCTGAGCCTGTGCGATATTGCTGTTGCTGCTGTCGGTGGGCGGTTGCAACTTTCGAGGCGCCTTTTGATTTTTGGTTGCTCGCCTTAATTAGACTTTGCCACAGACTTTGTCGATTCGGGATGGGGTTATTACGGCTTATGGTTTGTGGCAATGCTGCAGCTGGCAATTGCTGATTGCCGATTGCTGTTGCAGTTGCCGTGAGAGATTTTCCAATTAAGTTGGCTCAGAGAGCTGCTAACCTGGTCGAAAGCCTAAAATGAACTTTAATTCTAGCGTTTCCCTGTGCAAATGTTGGAGTTTTAGGATTATGTGTTGTGCTGGCTGTGTGTATATGAGTGGGCGTGGCATGACTTTTATTTAATTTGCAAAGCTTTTGTTGGCAGTGGCACAAAGTACAATGAAAAAAGGGAAAATAGCGCGATGCTTGCCAAGCTGAAATTGCATTTCGGATGTTGCAGCAGCAGCAGCAACACCGTCGACGACGTCAACAGCAACACTTTGCATGGCTCTACAGGAATTTGGGTCAAACATAAAGCACATAACACTCACACACAACCGCCCAAAAGTTTTCATGCCGGCATGCGGCATTTTGTGGCAATATCAACATCACTGCCAGCAGCAGCAACACAGCAGCAGCAACAACTGTGCCACGCCGGCAGCAACATCTGCCTTCCTTTGCCTAAGCCAATTATTTCCCCAACAATTTGATAAACTTTTAGTTGTATTTATTCACATTTAGGGTAAAATGAAGAGGAGCAATGGAGAACATGAAACAAAAATGCATAAAAGTTTAACGCGAATAACTTTTCCATAATTACTGTCTGGCATTCTTGACCTCTTAAGTTGGTCCATAAAAGCTAAATTTAGAGTTCACTTTTAAAATTCACAAGTTATAGGGAAAAAGACTAAAATTTGTATTTTTTCTTCTTTTTTTTAATGAAGCTTAGAAATTTAAGATGAATTTAAATGTGATGGAAAATATTTATTTATTTATCATTGGACTTCGGTTTACAAAAACAATATTCTTAAATTTCGAATTAAAACGAACTTAGTTAAATAAATGTATTATTATTTAATCCAAACTTGTATAAGCTTTAATCTAATTTAAAATTTTGTGGAACAATTATTTTGTAATTAAATATCGCTAGGAACCAACTGTTTGGAATACGTTTTTGGATACAATCTAATCTTATCTATCCGACTAAATATTACAATATGATCTCCATTAAATTGTAAAATTTATATTATTTATTAAATTTTTGTTTCGAAAGCACAAATTAATCCTATTTAATTATCTCGGGCTTCTAAGGGCATTCTTTTCTTTTTGTGCTCTAGAAATACACTGAACTCTGATCCAAAGTTGCCAGCAGTAATCAAATTTATGTGAGAAGATTTGTCTGAGTTGGCTAATTGAAAAGTTTCCTGCTTGCTCTTTTTCTCCGCTTTTCTATTCTATGTGTGTTTCTTATTTCTTGGGCCTCCGTCAATCAAATTGGCCGCAAATCAAAATGCAATTAAAGCGCCAAGCTGCAGAACTTTTTGGACAAAGTTCTGGTTGTCTGCTGTTGGCTCTTTTGCTGCTTTGCTGTCTGCTTGGGAATGGGCACATTGCTGTTTGCTGTCACTGCCAGCGGCAACATCAGCGGCAGAAACAACATCAACCGCCAAGGCGACACAGTAACACAGAATCAGAATCAAACTGCTCTCGACTCAATTGTAGTCAATTTGAAAGCCAACTATCAAATGTCAGCCAGAAAGATCCGAGAATCGTTGCCACGATTCTTCTAGACGCCCAAAATCGAGTGCAAAACGAAACTGTTGCTGCCAAAAACTTCATGTTGCCGCTGCGCCTGCGCAGTGACAACAGCAACAACGGCAACAACAAAAGCCAGAGAGCAAGACAGGCTTATAATTGTGGCGTAAACTGGGTCAGTTGCCAACTCAGTTGGCCAGGCCAATCCGAGTCCAAGAGCCAAAAGCCAGACCCCGTTGCCAGTTGTACCGGAGTGCGAATGTTCATTGTAGTTTGTGGATGGTTGTTGGTTGTTGGTTCTTTGACTGGCGGCCCATTGTGGCTGCTCGCTCTGTTTCTGCGCTTCTGACAATTGTCTTTTGTTTGGCCGTCGGTTACATTAAAGTTTAGCCACAGCCACAGCTTTATTTTGCCATTGTCTCGCTCGCGAAATTTTATTATTATTATTTGGCAATAGGCAAAGCGGCCGAGAATGCAAAGAAAATATTCTGGAACATTGCACGGTCTTTGATGGCCGCCTGTCAAAAGTCCATCAGCGCTGCAAATTTTTACATTAATTTATTGAATTAAATGGATAGTACTATAGTTAAACAACTATATGGCGATTGAAGTCAGAAAAGCCTAAATTAAAAATTTAAATAAAAATTAATGAATATAAAACAAACGAAAATTTAACCCAAAACTTTTATATTTTCCGTGATTTACCACTACAAA